CTGGGGAAATTCTGCACCACTGCGCATGCGCAGAATTTATGTCCCCTTCAGATTTCTTCACTTCCCTGCAGAAAAATGACTTTCTGACAGGGGAAGCAAAGGGAAGCCACAAGCACAGTCATGCAACTCTCCTTAGCAGTATTTTTTCAGTAGCCAGGGCAGCCGGCAGAGAGGTAAATCACTGAGGGGCAGGGACTGGACTGGGGAAGACCCGGTTGGTGGCTCCTACCCTGCGCCAGGCTCAGCTGCTAGTCCCAGCTGGGCTGGGGACAGGACTTCCTCTTCCCCTGCACGGCATCCACGCTGTGTCAGTCCCACCCAAAGATTTCTCCCATGGCTGGAGGAAGCTCTTCAAACTCCTTTCCCCACCCCCACACACTTCCTGCACCCATCACTCCCCAGCTGCAGGGGGAGGGATCACTGTGCAGGTAGCTGTTTGCCCATCCGCCCAACCCTATGCATCCAGACCCTCCCGCTGAGCCTCACCCCTGCCCGCACCCAGAACCCCCCTGATGAACCTCACTCCCCCTACACCTGGACCACTCCAATGAGCCACCCTCACCTGGATCCCCACCACACTGAGCCCCATATCCCCAGCATCTGGACACCCCCCAGCTGAGCTCCCCACACCCAGACCCCCCCACCAAGCTCTATCCCCCCACATCCACCCCACCCCACACTGAGCCCCAACTACCTTCACCTGGACCACCCTGCTGAGTCCCATTACCACTGCACCCAGAACCCCCCAACAAGCCCAACAGTGATCCCCCACTGAGCCACCCACACCCAGGTTACCCCACACAGAACCCCCTCAACCCACACCTGGCTTCCCCAATACTAAGCCTCTCTACACTTGGATCCTACTTTGCTGAGCCTGCCTGCCCACGCGTGGTTCACCCTGGCATAGAGGGGCAAGCCTGGGCCTTGCGCTGTGTCGGGGTTGGGTGCAGCCTCACTGCTGCGTCCATGTCCCGGGAGGGAGCTGCACAATGATCTCCCATCTCTGTGCAACCAGTGGCCTGTGCTCCCCAATGCCATGCTGGAGCCACCACATTTATTTGACAAATAAAATTTGCAGAATTTTAAAATATTGTATGCAAAATGTTTAAGTTTTTGGCACAGAATACCCTCAGGAGTAACTAACAAAAGGAGAAGCCCCTGGCAAGGGGCATTTTAAATTGGTATTTAATGTTGCCCAAATTTGCACTCCAGGTTCTTCCCCTATGAATTACTGATACGCTTTCTTCCAGAATCAGACAAAAGCCCCATTACCCATCCTTGGCAGCCAGGGGCACTTCAAATGGAAAAGTCAGTAGTCCCAAAACTCATTTTAAGAGCAAAGACTGAAGTATATTGTTACATTTCACCCCAAAGGGGTAAATAACCACTTAGAACCCATTCCCCCCCCAATCAATCCCCTAGAGTCTTTCATTGCTCAGCCCCCTTTAACAGCAATAAGTGGAAAGCCACTCAATACAGCCAACCACAATTAAGACAAGTACCTATCTTATCTAGACATACTGCAGGAAATACAGGCCCAGAAAAGAAAGCTCTCATCCTGAGCTTTAACTACTCTCTTCTCCCAAACAATATACTAGTATGTAGGTGAGATCTCCCACTGGCTGTTTATAAAGTTGCCCAGCACCATTGTACCTGAACCTTCAATAGAGTGGGGAAGTAAATTCATGCTCACATACAGGAACTGCTGCAACATGGAGGGTGTCTACTGGGAGGCAGAACTGGATCAGGACTAGGGTGGAGCAAGTCTCACCATAGTTTACCCTCCCATGGCACTTTGCTCAAAACAGGCAGCATGACTGATTAAAGTTAATATTAGGTGGCCATATTCAAATTGAACTGGTGGTACTATGAAGAAGACATGCTCAACGGGAGTAGAAGTATCAGACGAAATTTAATATCCACCTATAGTATAATGGTCAGGTAGATTACAGGCAAATTATTTAAAGTAGCCTTTTTGAAGCCATCTGTATCCCTAAAGTATTTCTACTGAAAGCTGCCTTCATTGTGCAGCATGTGGTAAAGCACAATCAGTTCAGAATCAAATGCTTTTTTGGGTTCCAGAGAAATGCCATGCTGCATTACACTAAAAGGTTGCCTAGGGAGGTGGTGGAATCTCCTTCCTTAGAAGTTTTTAAGGTCAGACTTGACAGAGCCCTGGCTGGGATGATTTAATTGGGGATGGGTCCTGCTTTTGAGCAGGGGGTTGGACTAGATGACCTCCTGAGGTCCCTTCCAACCCTGATATTCTATGATTCTATGATGAGTGGGCCTAGCATCTCATCTTCAGCAGTGAGCAATAGGGTAGTGGATTTTTAAGAGGAAGGTGCAAAATTCCCCATCATGTATCTAACCCTGCACTGGGTTATCACAAAGAGACTTGAATGTCAGTTTGTGAGCAGCTTTTGTTACAAAGTCTGAGGATTAAGCTTCATTGTAGTTGTACCTAGTATAACAGCAGATGTTTTTATTTACCTAAATATCTAGTCCTTTTAGATGTATTAAACTATTGGTCTTGACTTTTAGGTAAGGGGGCAAATCAGTGACTTGGACGTTTGCTCCAGCATGCCACCCCATTCGTATCTCTGGGACATGCTATTTCCCAGCTCAGTTTAGGCAATACTGATATAGTCAATGTATGCTTCCTGGGGCTAGACCTGTGGTTTCTGTCCTTCAGCATCAGAGCAGCACGCAATGATGAATTAGCAGGTTCAGAAGGAAGGCAGAGGCCTACGGCTAAACTGCAGTTTCTAATCACTACAAAACATATACAGCCCCCTTGAACTGCAGCAATAAAGGGCAAAATCACTCAACACCCTGCCAGCCACAATTAATTTTATTCTGCTTCACTCCAGTAAGGAGGAACTCAGCTGCAAACAATAGGTATGTCTACACAGCAAAGAAAAACCTATGACTAGCCCATGCCAGCTGACTTGGGCTCACAGGGCTGTTTCATTGCTGTGTAGACATCAGGGGACAGGGAATGGGGGGGGGGGGGTGGAGCAGGAGTCCCGGGGGAGCCATCAGGGGGCAAGAAGCGGGGGAGAAGGGGGTGTCAGATAGGAGTCAGGGGCTGGGCCACCCCTGGCCCGCCATACAATTTTGGAAACCCGATGTGGCCCTTAGGCCAAAAAGTCTGCCCACCCCTCGGACAAATTAAACATTAAAAGGCTGATCAGGAAGAGCATACAATAGCACCAGTTCATGTGTAACCTGATAAGATTTTTCTTGGGAGGGGGAGGAGGAAAGTTAGGCAAGGAAGATTCAATGCTAAACCCACCTCTAATCCATAAGCAAAAACATTTCCCACTTCTAACCACAGTAATTGGATCCACACAGATATCAAGGAAAACAACTTGCCAAGGGGCATAACTGCATAAGAGTGACCTGCTCGTATACACCTGCTCTACATTTGTTCCAGCATGAGGTTTAATGCACTGAATTTATACAGTGGGCATATGGGATACCTGCTTGTGGCTGAGTGGGATCATACAAGCTATTTGAATGGCAAATACTAAGTCACACATTAAGAGTCATCACTCCTGAAACTATTTTCTTAGGCTTTGTTACTGGCAGCGGTGGCTTCTATGGCTCCTGGCTTCTATGACTCCTCCCTCTGTCTTGCCCCACACATCAAGGCAGCATCCAAATCTTGTCAGTTCTTCCTCTATAACATCTCTAAAATCTGACCTTTTCTTTCTCACCACACAGCTTAAAACTCTCACCCAGGCCATCATCTCCTCAACCACCTCCCTAACAACCTGTATTAAGCCACACAAGTCAATGGAAAACAAAGCTGTTAGAGATCATGCTTTTTTTGCCTGCCTTCACCGTATCACTCCTCTGAGTCCCTCAACTGGCTCCCCATTTTACAGAATTCACCCAGGCCCTTCCAACTTATTTGCACGTGTATCTTATGTCATGCCTTCATATAGTTCTTCCCCTCCATCCTTTGTGCATAAAATGTCCACCCCACCCTAGTTTATGAAGGTCCTATCCTCTTCTCCCCAAGACACATTTGTACTATAAGACCTGCATCAAGTTATCAACTGATAATAGCTAGGCAGAAGGTAAATTCATGCAAATAACTAGGTAAATGTGAATTACCAGTTAGCTTCATCCTCCCTCCCCATTCCATACTACTGTTTCTTACACACACTTGTTGCATCTTGTTTTAAATTACATTTGTAACCTGCTGGGGCAGGAATCATGTTTTCCTACCTATTTATGCAGCACCTAGCACAACGGGCCCCTGATTTTGATTGAGTGCCTTTGGGCACTATGGTAAGAGACTAAATAAATATTGCCACCATCATGGAATTATCCAGTCACGGAATTAGCCCTTCCTGTTCGGACCATTAAATCAGAAGGAAAAATATAAATATAATGGATTTGGATCTGTTATTTTATATCTGAACAGAATAGGGACTTTTACCTTTTATATTTAATTTTAAGAATTTAAACTATTACACACAAAACTAATATCACTGGATGTGCAGTTGCTGGTCAGTTACAATTTTGCACTAAGACCTAGAATATTGACTAGCTGATGGTACATGGAAAGAGGAACATGTCAAAAGCAAATTCTGACCCACTTCCCTGTTACTAGAAACCCTTCTTGAATTTCCCCAGACACAATTCCCTGCTTCTGATTCTGAGCCCACGCTAGATGAGCCAGGTGTCAGTTATCACACTGGAGGGCAGCATGGAGGAGTAAGGAAGCACATGTCTGGGGATAGAGGCAACTGGGAGGAGGTAGTTGGGGAGGTGATAGCACTGAAGAGCTGAAGTTGGGTATTTACTAAGTTTGAAAGAACAGAACTATAGATTCTCAACTAACATTTGAGTTTTTTTATCAAATTGCTCCTTCCCCTGTAAATCAAGTTCTAGATAGATCAGTGTTCCATGGCATCTTCCAACTTTTTTATATATATATATATATATAAAATGATGGGGGAAAAAATTATAACACTTCTAACCACTTAAAAAAGGAAATTAGTTATTTTCCAATGTCCAAGTGGGGTTACAAAAAAACATACTTGTATATTGCATACAGCAAAACTACATATAGTGACATATTCCAAAATCCAAACACATAGATTGGTTACATGTAATAGTACTAATGCTAAAACCAGAATTTACGTGTTCTTTCCCACATATCAAAAAAAAAATTCATATAGAATTACAATTTTTATACACTTAAATGGAATTGTTTAACAGAAGGAAAACATTAAATGTAAGTATTTTACATTTACAGTTAAAATAGTTCACTGATAAAATCCTGGATTCTTGAGGAGCATTCATTCCCTGTTGCAACTGTACATTATACACAAAAGTGTCTTCCTCTATGTTTTACTTATAAAATATTTTAGACCTACCTATACAGACTGACAGAAAACAAATCCATAATTAAATATCAGTCTTCAAAAAGAGTTACCACATTTTTAGTTTTGCAATTACTATTAACTATTTGTCCTGAAACACAATGAACAACACCTGATTGGTTAAAAGAAAGTTTTATGTTCTAGTCTGCATTTTATTTACATTTTTTAATGTTTCCATTTTTGGGGGGCAGATGGTCATATTTTCAGTGCCAGAAAAATACAATTTGCATTTTCATTCTAGAAATAGGTCAGAAACTTACAAATAAGAATGCACAGTTATATCATTCTGTTTTGAATTTTTTTTGGTCCACTTCTCAAATAAACTACTTGTATGCAGAAATGCTGTAAGTTTGAAATATGACTTTTTATAAGTTTAATGAGTATAAAAATATTTAAAGAATTTTTTAATTAACATTTAAATAGGCAAACCAATTTTTATCCCTGTCAGCTGATTTCACAGTCTACATACTAACAGCATAATTATAAACACACATGGAGTGTGTGCACATAAAAACTAATGCCACATCAACAGTAGTACTATATCCTTCATTCAGAAAGAATGATTGACCTATCCTCTTACAAAATTATAAATCAATCAGAGTCTTAATTTCATTGATCTTGGTTTGTTTTACTTCACTAGCAGTAAGCTTTTTGGATGCAAAGGCTCCTGCTGCAAGTTCCCTCTTCTTGTTCTGGATTTTCAGCATATTTTCTTCCACTGAGTTCTTCACAATGAACTAACATACATTAAAAAGAAAAAACAACACACAAAGTAAAAGGCAGACATTTTCAAAAATGGGTGCCTAAATTAGGCACTTAAGTGATTAACTGGAATTACTCTGTACTTAGCACATTTGAAATCAGGCCACTTATTTAAGTGCCTATGTATGGATTTAGAAATATAGGCCCATGTTTCTGGAAATTTTATCGATATGGTAACACTCTGAAAGAAGCGTGGCTCTATCATTCACTTACTTTGCCAAAAGAGTGAGTGGCAAAGTATACAGACAAATCTTGGGTCTTGGGGGGGAAAGGAGTAATCTCTCTTTTGCCTCCATTTTGATTATTGGAACAACAAATTCTTCCTACTTGCTGCTGATATCAGAAGAGGAACAACTCCAATTTCCTAAATGTGATTCCCCCAGTTGGTGTAGGAGGAGGAAGGGGAGACAACTGGCTGGTGAAGAACAGATCAGCAGCTAGGAGACCTGTAGTGACATAAGGAAAAGCACTTGGGTCCCTCCCAAAGAAGACCAACAGCCTGGCTGGCTAGACAACAATAGCATGCCTAGGGACCTACAGACTGGGGTACTGGCTAGATTCCATTCAGGCTTCTGGAGCTTGAAAAACCCTGGGAATCCAGAGCACAGAGGCTCAGATTCCTCTCTCAGCAGTTCTAGTGGGTAGCCAGGAAGGGGCGCTTTCTAGGATCTGAGACAGAATGGTGGCAGTGCAGTAATACACGAAGATTTTTACAACACTGTTGCAAAGGCTTATACTTTTGCTCTTTAAACTGAAAGCAAGAGCAGGTCTGTTCATCTGTCTCAGGTAAAAGCCATTTAGCAAGCACAAATTACAAGCAGTTCATGAAGAGCAGCTTCTGGGCCTGTATGCACAGTGAAGTCTACCTGCTGCTGATCAGGAGAAACTGGAGTTGGTGGCCAGGACGTACTCACGTGCCATGAGGCACAGTGGGTCACCTGCTCCAAACCAGCAGCCAGAGCGGGTCCCTTTTTCTCCTACAGGGCATGCAATGACAAAGCAGATGGGGTCAGATGATCCAGCAGAAGTATCTGCAGTGACTAAAGGTCCAGAGCTGTGAAGGCTGAGGAAGACACTGATGGAGCGTGAAGCCAGACATCAGAGTGAGGAGAGAGCTGGAGCAACAGAAGTTTGCTGACCTGGACAAAACGCAGGCAGCTCGAACGGGAGATGAGGGTCAAGTCACGCCCATGGGACCCAGGAGCAAGGACATAAGCGTATGCCTCATCAGGGGCTAGTATACAAATATATGAGGGAATGATGGATGCTATCATTCTGCCTGCAGCTGAATCACTAGGGATGCTAATGTTTGTTCTGGGATTCTGACTGGGAAATTATTTTTCTTGATTTTTTCTGTAGTAGTGTACCAGGGTCACATTCTGAGGGTTCAGGTACAAGCCCGTCATGACCAGACTCAGTGGTTGAGGGGAGAGCTCAACATCTACCTTCACTGGGGAAATTGAGTCAGTGCTGAGTGTGTCTGTGGCACATCTAAAAGTTGCTGTGGCTCAGAATCTGCTGGGAGCAGCAAGATAGTGATACAGCTAGGAAATGCTGTGGACCAGAACCCCACTAGAAGTACAGAAGATTACTGGGGGCGGTGAGACACTGGCGCAGCTAGAAGGTGCTGTGGACCAGAATGACGGTGGGAGAAGGGAAACTAGGTATGGCCATAAGGTGATGTGCCTCAGAACTCCCCTGGAATGAGGCAGACTCTGGGTGGTAAAAATGCTGACAAATCCATGCCACCTAGTAAAGGATGGGAAAAGCCCAGACAGGTTATAACCACTGTGGCAAGTGAAGATGTTAAGAAGAGGGAAAGATGCCCTTTAATCTGTGGGTTTAGAGTGGTCATGAGAGATGTAATTAAACCTGAGGGGGATGAGAGAAGGAAACACACCTCACCTCTCCCCAAGGGGGGAATGAACATGGGAACTAACGGATGACTGTATTTTAGTTTGATTATTGGAACAGTTTACTAGCTGAATGAATGTATGAAGTTCAAATTAATAAGCTGATACCCTGTCCAGACAGAGGGACTTTAAACCAAGATCTGTGGAGTAGCCAGTAGCTAATCCTAATGAGTCTACAACAGGGGAAAGCTGACACACAGAAGCCCATTGGTACCACCTGACAAAGGATTCACTGTCCTGTAACAGCAACACTTAAGAAGCCTGACAAAGTCAGTACAGCTAAACACACTGCTTTGACGGTATTTATCCATAAATTATATCCTGTAAGGTCTCTAATATAAGCTTATGTCATACTAATCCTCACAATAATTGCATTATATATGTATGGATGATATTTAAGGAGTTCGTGTATATGTAGTGAAAATATAAAGACTGTCACCAATCAAAGAGAAAAAACAAGGTTCTTCCAGACAGGAAACAGGATGTATATTCACCTCTCTCAGTTCACAGGTAAATTAAGCATGGTAAGTCACTGGAGACTAAACCACAGAGGTTGTCCTGCCTCTACGGAGGGAAAATGAACTCTGAATAATACAAATAGAATGCAAGGAAAAGTCTCATCTATTCACTAAGAAAAACATCTGGTAGAAGGGGATGCTTCATGAACACTTGGATCCCAGTTTGCCTGAAACCGGCTAGCTCTGCAAGTCAGAACCCTTTTTTTTGGGGGGGGGAGGAGGGGGGAGGAATCTACATCATATAGGAAAGATAATGATTTCTAAGTTTCAGAGTAGCAGCCGTGTTAGTCTGTATCCGCAAAAAGAAAAGGAGCACTTGTGGCACCTTAGAGACTAACCAATTTATTTGAGCATAAGCTTTCGTGAGCTACAGCTCACTTCATTGGAGCTGTAGCTCACAAAAGCTTATGCTCAAATAAATTTGTTAGTCTCTAAGGTGCCATAAGTCCTCCTTTTGATTTATAAGTGTAGACCCTGGTTTGTATTTATTATTTGATATGTAAAAAACAGTTTTGTTTCTAATTATCCTTACTCAGTATCTCTTAAATCTTAATCTTTGATAATAAACTTGTCTGTTTTCATTATGAATATATTCCTCAGTGCTATGATGTCATATAGGCACTGATCCTCAATTGCATCAAACAAGTTACTTAGTGTGTATTCAGTCCATTTCGGGATAGCAAATCTGGTAATTTCTGAGAGTGTCCAGTGACAGGTGCTGGATACTAAGGGGGTATGCTTCAAGAGGGCTCCAGGATTGGGTGGCATCTACTGATAACCTGCAAGGCAAAGAAAGGCCTGGCACAGCCCTGAGGAGACTGTAAGGGTGGCTAACAGACTGGTGGTGTCAGGGAGCCGCTGGTACCCAGTTAGGCATCTGCAAGTCTTCCTCTGACTGGAGACAGTGAAGGGTAAGAAGGTGACTCGGAGTCCTGGGCATCTTGAGAAAGCATCACACCTACCCACCTTAAGATCTCAGCCAGGAACAAGCAAACTCTGCTTCAAAAATTAATCTCTCTTCAGAGAGAGAGGTCATACCCTATTATTTTTGCAAAACTTTAACAAAATTTCACATTTTTGTAAGTGAGGAAAACAACATAGCCCGAGCTAACATTTCAAAAATGGTATCCCAACTATAGTTATATTTATGTTATACTATAGCTATATCCTCTGCCCAATTCTTTTAAATAAAAAGTTGTTTAAAAGAACATCACTCCTATATCAAAATCACAGTTATTCAAACAGCTCACCTTAGTGATAACAACATCTTGCTTCTGGCCAAGTCTGTGACATCTGTCAAAACACTGGTCTTCTGCAGCAGGATTCCAAGCCTATCAATGATGCATGATCATCAATCTAAACCTTATGGTGAACAATCAGTTTTTCAAAACTACACTTCCAGTACATTAAGACACTAAGAAATTTAAAAAATGAATTCACTAAAACATGTTATCATGATAGTACGGCCTATGATAAAAGTAGCCATGTGATTAGCACTGTTTATTTTTATCAGTAACTGTTGTTCTTAGGGTATGTGACATGATCACACTATTCTATATAAGGCTGTAGAATGGATTTAAAAAAAAATTTAAGTAAAAAAAGGCATTTATATTTTCAGTAAAACCATAGAGGAGTTTGTAATCAGGACCAGCAAATTCCAGCAAGACTCCATAGATGAAAAGTTCACTCAGTTCATTTATGCAACCAGTTCTCCCTTTTGTTTTGTTCAGAACAAATATTCCATTGACATGGTTCAGTCATTACAACAACTACACTTCACCCAGCAGAACAGACATTGCTGGAAGGTTGCTGGATACAGTGAATGAGAAGGAAACTGAACAGTGTGCAAAAAACAGTGATGAGAAATTCATTAATCTGAGCCTTGATGCATGCAGCAGTGTACACAATGATTTAGTAATATGTGCTTGTGTGACAACAGAAGATGGGTTTGTCAATCTTTCAGAAAAAATGGATACGTCAGGAAATGCCCATGCAGCAGAGTACTTAAAAAACGGGCAGTAAAAGCTATAACAAAAATTCAAGTGTCAAGCACATAGCTTTGTCACTGACAATGTTGCAAATGTAGCAAAGATGAGAAGAAATCAAAGAGGGAACCTGAAATTTATGTAGGTGCAGTGCTCATTTGATGCATCTTTTAGCCAGAGACTTAAGTATGACTCCAGGAATAAATGAAAATGTTGCTGAAATTGCAAAATACTTCATCACTTTTCTTCAGCTTCACTGAAAAGAGCAAGATCTAAACTAATTCTCCCCCATGGTGTACAACTGAATTCAGTGGTTGACTGCTTTGAGCTATTTATTAAAAAAACTTGTCTATTCTGATAACAATTTACAATGAAAATCAGGACAAAATAAATGGAACTATCACAGCGAAAGTAGTCAACATCAGACTAAACGGAAATGTAGAAGATATGCTGAATGTCACAAAATCCATTTTCATTGCCTTGAACAAACTGCGGAAAGATTGCTGCTGTATTGCTGATACAGTCGACTGAAGAAAGACTCCAGCAACAAAAGTTATATTGCAGGTAGTAAAGAAGAGGATGGATCAAGCACTTACTCCACCTCAATTTCTTGCCAATATTACCAACCCAAAATACTAGAGTAGATATCTCACTATTGAAGATGCTGCTGCTGCAATAGCATGGCATCTAATCTCATCAATAATGCCATAATAGATTTCAGGACTGGAGGTGAACCATTCTAGTAATACATGTTTGCTGAAGATATTTTGAAGAACATCATACCACCAAACTTGTGGTAAGTCCCTAGCTAAGCACCTGGAACCAGTTTGTTGAAGTGCTAAATCAGCTTTTAACAGCAATAGCCTCTTCTGCAGGCACAGAAAGAACATTTTCTTCATTTGGACTAATTTATTCAAAGTTGAGAAATCAAATGGGAGTTGAAAAAAAAGCAGGAAAATGTGTCTTTTCCAGTCTATGAATAAAAACGATGAAGGAGGGGATGAGATCTACTAGTTTTAAAAGTTTGAAGAACAGCCTAAGTGACTTAGGAGACTGTGCTCTCATTTTCAAAATACTTAGGTGAGTAGAAACTTGAGCTCCAGTCTAAGCTAATCCTAAAAAATACAAGGTGAATCACATAGTGCACAAGCGAAGCAAACACTGCCAAGGGATTCCTCTTGCAGCCATGGACATGAAAAAGGAACATGGGGCAGGTGAGCCTGCTCCACTGCTTATGCCCTCAGTGAGGGATACGAAATGGTATAGAAACAGCCCCAAAAGAAACTGCTGGCCAAAAAAAAAAATCTGATCTCAGGCGTATGGGGTGCATGTGATCCATGAGTGGAATCTGTGTGGACAACACAGAAAGAATAACCTTCTGTTTCTCCATCTGCAGTCACTTCATAACAGGAGAAGAAAGAAACTAGAGGAGAGCTGTGCTAAACTCAAAGAAAGATGTGTAGAATGAAAATGGCTCATGCACAACCCCAGTCAGCTGCACTCTGCAACCTGGTACAAAAAGTACAGGACTTTTGCATGCAAACACAGTGCTATCCCCCTCTTTGATGCCTCTCAAAAACAGGAAGCAGGACACAAAGAACAATGGATAGAAGAGAGGATTAAAAATATATGAAAACCAACAGAAAACAGTGGTAGTTTTTAAGTATCTCACATGATGTTCCACTAAATTTAACTTTTAGCAGCCAGCTCTACTACTATTGCACAAATAGTTCTGTCTTTTCCAATTTTTTTGTTTTGGTTTTTTTTTTTTTTTTGGTTTGGTTTTTTGTTTTTTAAGAATACAAAGAGTGCTACATTGCCAAAGAAAGACACAAGATATTCTTTCCTTCCTCTATCTGCCCCTTGCCCAGATAGCACTAATGTCATTCATTCTTAGGGTATATCTACACTGCAATTAGACCTGCAGATGACTCTGGCTAAGAGGCTCAGGGGCTATTTAAATGCAGTGTAGACGTTCAGGCTCAGGCTGCAGCCCACGCTCTGGGCCCCTCCCACCTCAGAGTCCTAGAGCTCAGGCTCCAACCCAAGTCAGACTGTCTATACACAATTAAACAGCCCTTTAGCAGAAGCCCTGGGAGCCCAAGTTAGCTGGCACAGGCCAGGGTTGGGTTTTTAATTGTAGTATTGGCTTTATACCTACCGCTTCCTAAAATCCTGAGGGAACTACAACTAGTTTTGTATAGATCACTTCCAACATACCAGTGTTAAGTCTATTACTTACAGGATCCATTAAAAACACTCGTGAAGCAGCTGTCAGATTTAAACCAACTCCACCAGCTTTTAGGGATAGCAGCATTATGGTCGGGGACCCTTTTTGGCTGTCTTGGAAACTCTGAATTGCTTGTACTCTCTTCTTCTGTGGCATGGACCCATTCAAACAAGTAAACACAAACCCTGATTCTCTGCAGTAAAGAAAAACAACATTTATCAAGTTACTATGACAACAGGAAACATCTATTTAAAATCCTGACCTCTGCTGTGAATGTTTAAAAGGTTATGCTTCTAGTCAAAACAGAAGTTAAGATACATGGATCTATACCACTAAACAAAGAGTAATAGGATTCTCTTATATTCTAAAAGAAAAGCACATTTTGTTCAATTTATTTGAAATGGACATTTCACAGACATTTCAGCCACTAAGAAGTACAAAATTATAATTAGTTCAACTTACTTCAGTGGAGTTTCTATTAGAGACAGGAAAGTGGTGAACTGAGAAACAATCAGACACTTTACAGCTGGATTCTGCTTCCTTAGGTCTATCAAAGCATGCATTAGAGCACTGATCTGAAATGCCAAAAAATTAAGATTTATGCAATAGGGTTATGATCCCAATCTTTTGGATACTTCAAAAGCTTTGTGCTTAGGTACTGTGCTGATGGCTGATAATTTACCCTGTAATAAAACAGGGTAATCCTAAAGAAAATTTGTTTTTTAGAACAACTCCTGAAAAGAAAATAAGAACTGGCCAGTTTTTATGGCTATAAAGGTAGCTATTGGGAAGTTGGCAATGTTTGGAGAAAGTTTCCTGAGGAATTAATATCAACCTAATCTGTGTATCCAATGCACTTTTCTCCTACTGACAAAGTGTCAACAACCTTCTTCAGGCCAGAAAGCATGCAAAGAGGAAGGACGTGGAGGGGGAACTCAAAGCAGTGAGACTGAGGTAGGGGTTCTGGCCGGGACCAGTGCTACAGAACATCAGAGGAGGAAAAGGAAGATCAGATTCCTTTTGGAGCTGAGAGAATAAAGAATGACCTCCTTCCACCTTTGAGCCCAAAGGCCAAATATTTTTGTTCTTCAGCTTCTATAACTGTCAGGATAGAGATATTTTTAAGGGCTCAATATATACTGACTTTGAAAGGGCAGTAACCTTCTTGCAAATTTAAATTAAGTTTGTTGAGAAACAGTCAAATTCTGCAATTAAAACCAAAAAAAGAAATCAAATGAAGACAGGAAAATTTCAGATTTGGCAGTAAGACCTTGTACACTGATGAGGTTGAGGCTAAACAAAAAAAGGTAAACTTTATAAAAAGATATAACCAGCTGGGTAAACTAGTGAAATAATGTTTCTTAATAAAACATTTGTGAAATATAATGTCTGAAGCTCATTTATTTTAAGAATTTTAATGTGTGAAGCTCAGCAATTTTAAGAATTTTCTAAAGAAATGTATTCATTCATTTCTGATAAATTAAAGAGGATTTCCTTACATTTAGTTACAAAATATATCTTCAAAAGAAAAAAACATTAGAATTTCTGCTCTTTTACTGAAACAGTATTTTAATTAGTACACTCCACAAACAGCCCCTCACTAAGGGAGCTCTAGGTCAACAATACTACTTAGCTGCAATTTGCACTACTTTTGTCTGTTTCCTTGTTGCAACCAAGGCTTGTGGTAGGATTTTATGGTTTTAGTAGTGTTGTATTAACTTGATGTATACACCGAAAATTCAATTTTAAAGCGGAGAAAACTATTTCTATATAACGTGCTAGATTTCACTACACAAGACAGTGGGAAATTACTTTTGAACTGGATATCCATTCCCGATCACCCTTCTTCTCAAGGCTAGAATCCGACTCCTCCAGAGGACATTCTACCAAATGTTCTACTCGAAGTTCGTTCCTACAAAGAGGACATTTGGCATTTGGCTATAAAATAAAAAGGGAGTTGAAACATTAGGAAAAGCACTTTCTTCATTTTAGATCAGATTAAGAGCATTTTCCCCCTGAAAAGCTACTTTATCACTTGCAGATCAAAGAGTTCCAAGATTGCCTTTATGAAGTACATTCAGTGAAACTGAGAATTGCATTCTCATCCATGCTAATTCACACATGGTACATTATTCCACATGATATAACTCTTCCAGCCACACCTGACACTGCAAAAATAAGATGATTGTATGTGCTACACCATGAAGACTACACTGACGTTTCCATTTTAATACTATTTTATTCACATTTCTTAAAAAAAAAAACTGAAAATATTTGTTTGGAACAATGCAAACATTTGTTTATTTTTAAACTTTGAGCTAAATATGGTATATCATTCAGGTCCTCTGGAAAAGAGAGGGAAGAGAAAAACTCTCTGTATTCAAAATATCAGAAGCAGAAAAATAAACCATTTTTTAAAAAAATCTGAGTTCTTAGATCAAGGACAGTCTTCTCTTTAAAAATGAAATGTGAAAGATTAACTGCAAAGTTAAGCACATCCCTACCCTTTTGCTGTATTTAGGGGCAGATATTTGGACACTGGCGGTCATTTTTTTATAGGTGCAAATAACTGCAGACATAATTTTATGCCTGCAAATATTTGCTCTCACTGAAAATAGAGACCTGGTTAAGGCAGGGCCAAGAATTTCTCTATTAACATTTCCATGGGGCAGTATTTGACAAACATAGTATGGATTGTCTGTGTTGCAGGAATGGAGAAGGGCAAGAGTTTTAGTCTACCATCTCTACAGAAGGAAAGGGAAACTTCTTCCCCCCGTTCCCCTCTCCCCGGGAACAAACCCCACAACCCTAACAATGGTGTTAACAAAAAAACTTCTGGTTTGAGGTTTTGACTGCTGAATTATGACAAGAGAGAATGGCATCCATGTAAAAAATAAAGTGTGACAATTTTGAAATAATTCTTCTCCCCTGGCAGTTGGCTAACACAAGACTACTCAAAAATTGTAAGTTTTCACTATATTGTTTGCAGTGTTGTAGCCGTGTTGGTCCCAAGGAATTTTTTAAGTACATCAGAAGCAGGAAGCCTGCCAAACAGGCAGTGGGGCCACTACACAACAAAAAAGTGTTAAAAGAGCACTCAAGGAAGACAAGGCCATTGCAGAGAAGCTAAATGAATACTGTGTATCAGTATTCACTACAGAGGATATAGGGGAGATGCCCCAAAAGAATATCTCTGATGTGGGTAACATATCTGAAGGACTGTCCCAAACTGATGTATTAATAGAAGAGGTTTTAGAACAAGTCAATAAACTAAACAGTATTAATTCACAAGGACCAGATGGTATTCACCCAAGAGTTCTGAAGGAATCAAATATGAATTGCAGAACTACTGACAGTAGTATGCAACCTATCACAGATATCAGCCCCTGTACCAGATGACTGGAAGGTAGCTAATGTAACGCTGATTTTTAAAAAGGGCTACAGAGGAGATCCTGGCAATTACAGGCCAGTGGGCATTTTGGTGGAAACTATAGCAAAGAACAGAATTAAACAGACACACAAATAAATGCGATTTGCTGGAGAAGGTGTTGGGAACACTGGGGCATGGTCACTAGGTAACTCGAGGGGATGGAAGACCACGAGTGTCGATGAAGCCCCCTCGCACTAGGCCCCGGTGTCCTTGCCCCCCCCCGCCTGGAGGCACTCGCAGCAGCTCTGCGTACTAGGCCCAAGTGTCCTTGGCCCCCCCGCCTGGAGGCACACACAGCAGTTATGCTGAGAATCTGCAACAATATGTTGCAGAGTCAGACTGCCTGAAACTAAGCAAGGCCAAACAGGGGAGATATGAAAGAACAATGCTGAATAAAGCAGCTTTATGTATAGTTTAACAAATGATACAGAGAATCAGGGAACTAGCTGGGAACTGGATTGGCTGGCTATATGGATACTTGGGGCAGCTTGCTATTGGATAAGTATGCTGGGAAAAAGGATGTATAAAAGCCTGTGTAACTTCCTGCTCTGTTGTGCAGGATTTGAGATTTTATTCTCCCTGTACCTTTTTGCAGCTGCAAATAAACTTTTCTGCTTCTCCACCCCGTTGTGATTATTGGGTGTAGCACACCGGGTAACGAACCACTCAAGCTGTTGTTCAGCCTCTCGGCACTGGGTGCCGGCAACAAAGGGAAATGGAAATCATGCCTCACCAATCTATCAGAATTCTTTAAGGGAGTTAACAGCCATGTAGATAAGTTGACACACTACTTGAATTTTCAGAAAGCCTTTGACAAGGATCCTAATCAAAGGCTCTTAAGGAAACTAAAGTAGCCATGGAGGGAGGGTCCTCTCATAGATCAGAATTGATTGAAAGATAGGAAAAAGGCTAGGCATATATGGTCAAGTTTTCACAATGAAGAGGTAAACAGCAGGATCCTCCCAGGATACAGAGATTGGAACCTGTGCTGTTCAACATATTCATTGATGATTTAGAAAAGGGGGTGAAGTGGCAAAGTTTACAGACTATACAAAATTATTCAACATAATTAAGTCCAAAGCAGACAGCTAAGAGTTACAGAAGGGTCTCACAAAACAGGGTGACTGATCAACAAAATGGCAGATGAAATTCAATGTTGATATGCAAAGTAATCCACACTGGAAAAAATAATCCCGATTATACATATTCAATGATGGGTTCTAAATCAGCTATTACCACCCAAGAAAGATCTTGGAGTCAAGCATGGATAGCTTTCTGAAAACTTCAGCTCAATGCACAGTAGTGGTCAAAAAGGCTAACAGTATGTTAGGAACTATTAGGAAAGGGATAGAAAATAAGACAGAAAATATTATAAATGCCACTATATAAATCCATGGTGTAATTACATCTTGAATACTGTGTCCAATTCTGGTTGCCCCATCTCAAAAAGGATACAGTGGAACAGAAAACATTCACAGAAGGGCAACAAATATATATGATCAAGTGTAGAGAATGGCGTCCACACAAGGACAGACTAAGAAGATTAGGGCTATTCAGAAAAGAGACAACTAAAGGGCAATATGATAGAGGTCTATACAAATCAAAAATGGCATGGAAAAAGTGAATAGAGAAGTGCTATTAATGCTTTCACACAACACAAAAACTAGGGGTCACCCAATGAAATTAATAGGCACGAGGTTTAATACAAACAAGAGGAAGTCTTTTTTCCACACAATGCATAACTAACCTGTGGAACTCATTGCCATGGAATGTTGTGATAGCCAAAAGCATAACAGGATTCAAAAAAGAAAAGGTCCTATCAATGGCTATTAGCCATGATGGCCAAGGATGCAACCCCATACTCAGGGTAACCCTAAACCTCTAACTACCAGAAACCCAGAGTGGAAGAAGAGTGGAACATTTCATAATGCCCTGTTCTGTACACTCCTCCTGAAGCTCTGGTAATGGTCACTGTTGGAGACAGGTTACTGGACAAGATGTACCATGGTCTGGCCTAGTATGGCTGCTCCCATGTGAGAGAGACAGGGCAGGTGAGGTAATATCTTTATTGGATCAGCTTCTAATGGTGGAAGAGATAATCTTTTGAACTACACAGACCTCTTCCTCAGGTCTGGAGAAAATAACCAGAAAGTAACCAGTCTCAGCTAAATACAAGGTGGGTTAAGCATAGGAGGTTCAACACATGCTGCAGGAGACCACTTAAAATGAAGTGGACAATTAAGGATTAGCAAGCAAGAGGGTGTGTGACAATTTCCCGTAGTAAGCCATAAAAATCAGTGCCCGTTTTTAATGTCCAGCAGAGTTATGAATTTAAGTTCCCAGGCTTGTCTTGAGACGGCGTTATGTAGGTTTCTTTTGAGGACTGGGACCAAGAGGTCAGATATGGAGTGATCGCTTTATGACAAGTGTTCATCCATAGGTGATATGGTGTTTTTGTCTTTTATCATTTTTCTGTGTGAATTCATTTGACAAATCACATCCTGGAACAGACCACACAAATACCCCAGAACTTTCTGCAGCACAGAAAACAACAAACCCATGGACAGCACACCCTTAGTTGTCACCTACCATCCCCATACTGGAACCCATACAGGGTATCATTAAACAATTACAACCTATACCTGATGGGGACCATACAAGGAAATAAATCTTTACTAAACACCCTCTTCTGGCCTTCAAACACCATCCAACCTCAGCAAGCTCATCATCAGAAGCAAGCTCCTCAGAGGCCAGGATACAGCCAACTCAAAGCAGGGCTAAACAGATGCAAAACATGCAGACATATCTCCACAGCTAAAGTGATCAAATACCCCTGACAAACACACCTGTCAAGATGAATAGGTCTTACACATGCCTAATGCAACATGCAGTGTACCTCATCCAGTGCACCAAATGCCCCAAACACCAAGAGTTGAAAATGGACAATCAGTATGCTCTTGAATGAACTCACACCGAAAAATTTAAAAGACAAGAACACCAAATCATTCCTGGCTGAACACTTTTCACAAACAATCACCTCAAATCTGACCTCTCTGTCCCCTTTCTCAACGGAAACCTGCATAATCCCTTCAAAAAACAAGCCTGGGAACTTAAATTCATAAGTCAGCTCAACATTAAAAATCATGCACTTAACAGAGTCTTATCTGTCACACCTTGTATTTAGCTCAGATACAGTGGTTGCCTTCAAGACATGAGAAAGATCTCTGTGTAGCTTGAGAACTGTCCCTTCCACCAACAGAAATTGGTCCAATAAAAAAAAAAAAAAAAATTACCTAACCTACCTTTCCTCTCTTAGTTTTCACTATCTTATTCTATCATTCACCAACCTTCCACTCAGTTTACTATGGGGATAGACAATTGCTTCACCAATCCCAATATAATGTAGGTAACCTCAGAGTGAACTATTATAAAATGGTTAGCACTGACCTCTGGTGACAAATCTAGAGAGTACACTCAGTGCATATGTATGCAGTTTGAACAGATGTCAGCTGGCATACAAAGGGGTTGGTGGGTCTGCATGATGCAGGGGAAATTACAAGACTGCTGGGGCTTCCAAATTATCTTTTTTACTCACTTGAACAGATTACAAACAGAACTGCTAAAAAGGATCAGTTTTCATTAGAGTCTCCTATATGATGCTACTGACTGCTTCAGTTATTGAATATTTCTTTTTAAGTTCCAGTTAAATAACTGCTGTTAAACAGTTTAATTGAAAGGTGTTTTTGTCCTCACTGGGGAAAAAAACCAAAAAACAAAAAACCACACACCTTACTTTTTAGATTCACTATTAATTGGTCATCTTCAAACAAAGTAATTTTGATTTCTTTTAAATGCAGATGGAGAACATGCTAGCCAAAGGCTTGAAAAAAGTATGCATGCAGCATACCCACAGTGATAGTCCTGTGGAGGTACACAGCACTATACATGATGCTCTCATATTCATTTCCAAGACTAAAAAGGAGTGACCTGGTAAAGCACAGCAGTAATCTCAAAAGATTAATCCCATTTTATCGTGAGAAAAAGTGAACAATGACTGGTAAAATCTGCACCGGAAACAGTTGCGAGGCTCTCATTAAAGTTTATGGGATATGCGGGTGCAAATCCAAAGACAAAATTTGGGCCTTGGGCTGTTCCAGTAGGCTTAGCATACATCAGTATATTCTTCAGCCTTAAAGCTACTCTGTTTATTAATAGGATTATGATATGTCATCTGGAACGCAACGTTACCTCCGCTCTGGTCCAGATTCAATCTTTGTTGCTTTGGGATTAGTCACTACGATTAAATGCAACAACAAAATAGCTAACCTGTTCACTTTGGATGACTTCACAAATGCATGGTTTACAAAACACATGTGCGCAGTGTGTTATCACAGGAAGGTTCAGAGAATCCAAGCAAATTGCACATTCTTCATCTGAGCCAGAGCTGAGAACCAACTTCATTTTATTTACTAACTTCTCACGTAATTCTTCAGGAGTACTATAACCTAATATATATAGAAAACAAAGTTTTGTAAAACAAAAACAAAAACAGATTTTACACATGGGGCCAGATCATCAGCATAGTTCCATTAAATTCAACAGAACCATGTTGATTTACACCAGGTGAGGATCTGGCCCACAATTTATAAACACACTTAAATATGGCAGAATCAAGACTAATTCTGTATTACTATCTAAAAACATTTTTATGAATATTCAATTTGAGTCACTCAGACTAAGCTCAAGAAACCCTAACTGACTAAGGGCACACTGATCAGTACACGGTGCAACGTGCTCAGTGACTGAGGGGAAAAGAGCAATGTTTATGCAACAACAGTTTTGGACAGTGATTCTATTATGGAGATATTGGTAGCTACTCTGTAGTTGGGATTGCACTGTGATTTCTGCTTAAAAGGAGGAACTAATCCAACTGTTTCACACTAATTGAATGTAGCGTCCAAATTTAGCACAGTAAAACTCTACATGGAAAATGTATGTCCTATGAATTTTTTTTTTTTTTTTTTTAGGAATAATGTTTAGCAACATTTTAAAATGCTCTTTGAAGTTTTGCCCCATTTTCTCAAATTTCTTTGTTTCCAGAAGCTCTAAACTTCATACTGATCCTGATGACATCTTAGATATATGATCATTTTGAAATTTTAGAACTGGGCATCAGAAGTTATTCCTTATATTCAGGATATCTCAACTGGACTGTGCTAAATGCAGTCAATGGACCTACTCATATCCAGCAGCTACTTTCCATTTTCTGAAGTTACAGGGGCATCTGCCTCTGCAGTGGAGCTGCACACTCTCGGATTCCAAAAACTTGGCCTTCAACTCTCACCCTTCCCCCCACCCTGCCATAGCCCCTATAATGGCAAAGAATCATGGGGAAAGAAAAACCCATAGCTTGCAACTCCACTACAGAGGCAGTTTCTCCTTCTGATAAAGCTGCAGGGCTGTCCCCCAATGCCTCACTCATCCTTTTGTCCTCAGAAGGGGAGAAGTGGGCCCAAGACATTAATAAACTTTCTATGGCTCAGCAGAGCACAGCCGTCCTCTGATAACCCTCCTGCAATTCACCAGTCAAGAGCTTGACTGAGGTCTGTAACAGCAGAGCTGTCAGAATCAGGGAGGAGAGTATCATCTCCTCCCTGTTTTTCGCCTCCATGACCTCCCATACTGCTCTGCTTCCCCCACATGTACTTGCCAGACATATTCAGCTTTTAAATGTGTACTAGTGTTGATAGATCTACATTAAAAGCAGAATATAGTAGGAAAGGTGGACAACATGGTGGGAGCAAGGCTACCGGGGGCAATTTAGGCTGTGAAGGGTACTGGGGAGGAGTAGGTCAGGACAGGGAACAAGGCATAGGGGCAGGGGAAGGAAAGGAGGTCATGGGAAACACCAGGGCTTTGCAAAGGGCTTACAGGGGAGAATACGTATTAATACCAAATAGCTAATCACATGTATTAAAAAGAAGACGGTCAACACTGGTATATACTCATTAAACCCTGGTAATTTCCCCCACCATAAAAACCAAAACATGTACCTTAAAAGTTAAGTTTGCTAGACTGTACATCCAAATTCATTAAAACAAAACAAAACAAAAAAATTGCAGTTAAGACATTCAACACCCTCCTCCCATCTACATGCCACTCCTCATTCCTCCACTCATAATATACATAGGTCCATTTTCATCCTTCAAATCAACATGTAGTTTTAACTCAGTCCACAAATATAAAATTCACTAGTGCATGCATATGCGGACTTTACATAGCAATTACAGAACTGATATCAAATTTAGAATGACAAATCACCCATTCCCAAATTTTCATAAGCATTACAGAAAAAAACAAAAACAATCTCACAGCCACCATTTACAGAGACCACATACCTCATTTATTTACACACTAATACAAAATCATGTATGGAACTACAGTACAATTTATAAAAGCCACCCTAACCCTATATTCATGATTAAAATACATCAACATTTGAACACTCAGAATGGTTGTTCAAGAAAAAGATATTGGAATGAGATATTAAAGGATGACAATGTGAACCAATGAGTGAACTGTAGATGGGTTGATGAATGACTCAGCTAGATATTTTGGTTTTTTTTATGGCTTGCCTTTGGTGGGATATGAAGACTAGCATAGATGACTGTAAGTTAAGGGGCGCGGGTAGGTGGGGGGATGTTTTAAAGATCAATCTAAAATTCCAAATACTGTAGGTAAAACACATTAATATACCCAATTAAAGACTAATTGTTTTTGTCCATAATACAGCAGGTAAAAAGTCTACCAATAACATTTCTATTCTTGGGACTTGAACTAAAATGCTGTTATAGTTTTTAGAATGATACACGGAAAGTACATCTACTCACCTATTTGACAACTGGAAGACGATGTATTTGTGCAAAGATGAGGATGACAACACAGCTGCCTCAATCTGAGCAAGACACCAAGGACATCTGCATAATGTGCCAGAACAGTTCCTTCATTAAAATACCTGAAGAACAATTTTAATATTATAGTGTGAAAAACATTATACCCTAAATACATGGTCTCGATGGGTCAAGTTCAGCAATCTAAACCATGTCCTATTCTTACAGTCACCTTTTACCTGTTTTTTATGCAAAGCACGCCCTTTCATGTGTTTTGTTTTGTTTTGTTTTTAAATGCATACATACCCGAATGACAAAACTGGAGCACTGCCATTTATCTAAACAGTGGTGTCCTAAACATTAGTGTTATCCCTGAATCTGACCCAGACTTTAATGGAATTGCAGCCAATTACACTCTGCACTTTAACTCACAGAAACCAGGGACATCTGGATGTCTGAACATTCTCAGTTATAAAAACTTTTTGTTGTGTAGATTTTCAAAGAGGTATATGAATTTTTAGTCACCTATTTTACATTGGCCCTGGTTCTCCACTCACCCATACTAGTGTAACTTCATTGAAGTAGGTGGGCCTCCAGCTAATATAAACTATGTGACTGAAACCTTGTGCAATGCTTTGAAAAAATTACTGCTCTGGGTAAGGTGTGCGCGCCACGGTTTCTTTGACCTCAATTTTGTTAAAGCTGTGAAATGCAAAAGCAAAACTGAAAATCCTACAAGGTTATCTAAACTTACTAAGCTATATATATGCACTTACCATACAGGTCAAAGTAGGAAGTTCCATATACCATCATATATCAGTAACTAGCTCCTAAGACTCATTTACATTTAAGTTCTACTTTTTTCAGAAATAGTGTATGAGAATATATGTGATGTTCTACAGAAACAAGTTTTTCAAGTGCTAAAGAATTATTTTTAAGACTACTGTTAGTGTATTTTGTATTATTTGCTTCTCTCAAAGACAGTTAGGCTCATTTATGACATATGCTAGACCATTCTTCATTTTCTTCTTCATGCTGACAATTGAACAGATGTTACCGTCATTTGCAGTTATTAATTCAGGGCACACTAAGAGTGAAAAGTGAGGGGGGGGAGGGAGAGAGAAAGAGTTTGGCATATTTTAGATACATTCTGCTATTACAGCTAATATGCTTGAAACATCTGGACCAGTAGTTTTCAGAAGTCAGACTACAAAGAAAACTGACAACTCTAATAGCAACTGCACAATCTATCTTCTTTCTATCTACCTGCTAATAGCAGCTTGGCCTTCGTTCTTCACAGACTGATAGATTTTTCTCTCTTCCTCTGTAAGCGTAACATGCTGAATAAATACCTTACGTTCTGGTAACTCCAAAACAGGCTTTCCTTTAATTTTGCTTGTTTTCGTTCTCCTAAGGGTGATGTTTTTAATTAGGGACTGTAAACGCCTAGAAAAGACACATGAACCAGTCTTTAATACACTAACACAAATTACTAACAGTTTTTTTATTCAGTTTACTATATAACTGATTCTTTTGCATAAAATCTAAGCTTGATAGTATGCTACACTGCACTAAAATTAAGTTATATACAATATATTGCATTTAAAACCAAAAATGTACATTATGTTTAAACAAAGTACAAATGCATAAGTTTGTCATGACACACTGGCAATCAAATATCAGATTTATTATCCACAAACGTTTTACAAGCTCTTCATACCTCAGTCCCCCTTGGTCTCCCAGCATGACAGGGCGCTGGATTGTTCTGTGCCACCACTCTCTATCAGTAAAAGGTTTCAGTTTTAAAAAGGAGAGAAGAGACCACAAATCCTTTAAGGAATTCTGGATAGGAGTGCCTAAAATAAGAAAAAGAATCTGGAAAACCTTAAGAACCAAAAATATAAATTTGATTAAAAGTAGTCCACCCCTCCACAAATATATAGATCAAGGTTTTAAAACCCAGAACACAGAAATTTTTTTTTCCTTCAGATTGAGTCACAGATCCACGATATGAAACAAAGTACTAGTCTTCACAAACAAGGCACCATTACACTAGCATACACTTTTTCAGGGGAGTCTTTCTGCAGCTATCTCAACTGCATATTTTAAAATGTATTAGTTTTGCCATATAGTTCCACTTTAGAGAAACAGGCAGAAATTTTGTTCAGTTTTTCAGAATTGACAACAAATGGAAAAAAATCCATTATTCACCCAGCTCTATTCATAATACATGCCTTTGGGGTATTATTCCTTAGACAGCACATGTTTGCAGGTTGTTGTAGATGGTTTGCAGTTCACTTAGGCCCCAGTTCAGGAAAGCATCCCTACTCAGGCCAACACTTAAGCAGGTGATTAAGTGCCATTGATTTAAGTCAAACACCTGCTATGTGTTGGCCTGAATCAAGGACTAGGTGAACAAAAAATCTGGGTTTCAAGGAAATTGAACATGTTGGTTGGTGAGCCAGTCCTTTCCTTCTTTGCTGATCATATAAAATGAAGTTGGGATAATAGCATTATTTTAAATAGTTCAATTTGGTTGCATTCTCATCAACTTTTATAAAGATGATAGCAGCAGCAGCAGCTTTCTATGGACTTCTAATTTGCTACTGAGGACTTACGAAAAACTCTGACGTTACTTTTTCAAAACCGTTTTAAGATCTTCTTTCTGAACTAAGATTAATTTAAGAACATTCCAAAATAAGTCTGAATTTAGAGCCCAGCAGCCAAAATAAACGTTAGGTTTTCTGGATAAAACCAAAATGAAAACATTTCTTTAAAAATGTAGGGTCACTGTAGTACAAAAATAAAGGTTAACACTGCGATTACTGTGGGGTAAAATATTTCACCTGTCAGTATCCATCTTCTCTGTGCCTCCAGATTTAATGCAGCTTTAGTTTGCTGAGCATTTGGGTTTCGAATAGTGTGCCCCTCATCCAACACCACTCTCAGCCACTTTAATCTGTGTAACAGACTATCACCTCTGCTCTGAAATACAATTTTATTTTTGATCCTGTAACTCAAATCAAAATAGATCTTTTTGAAACTATGATATAGCAAGTCATAGATCTAACACATATATAGCACAAGTGAGGTAGATTTATTAAAACAGATTAGTAATAGTAGAAAATATATTCATTTTTATCTTGCTTACTCATCAAAGAATAGTAAAACGAGGAATGTGAGGAACCCACTCTTGGATTTAAAGAATCCCTGGAAACGTACATCATGTGCCTGGGACTAAGAGGATGCAAAAGGGTGACCAGAGTGAAATCATGGAAGCCAGATCAGAAAGCAGAGGAGCGGGAAGGGGGCTTACTGATGTTAAATTAAATAGGAGGGACCATTTGAAAGATCTGATACCCAGATATTTAAAAAGGACCGAGATTTGTATGAAAACAAAGCTAGCCAAATGCATGAATTCACATATAACGGCTATCCTTATTCAGGAAATCAATATATCCCTCAAAAATAATCAGTTTTTACATACTTTCATAGATTATGCATAGGGCCCTACCAAATTCAAGGCTATGAAAAACTAATCATGGACCGTGAAACGTGGTCTTTTGTGTGCTTTACCCTATATAGATTTCATGGGGGAGACCAGCATTTCTCAAATTGGGGGTCCTGATCCAAAAGAGAGTTGCAGGAGGGTTGCAAGGTTATTTTAGGGAGGTTGTGGTATTGCCACCCTTACTGCTGTGCTACCTTCAGAGCCGGCACTCAGCTCTGAAGGCAGTGCCCCACCAGCAACAGTGCAGTTCCAATCCCATGCCATCCTTACTTATGTGCTGCCGCTGGCAACAGTCCTGCCTTCAAAGCTGTGATCCCAGCCAGCAGCCACCGCTCTCCACCTGCCCATCTCCGAAGGCAGCGGTGGGGCCAGCACCAACCCAGAAATAAGGGTAGCAGTATCAAACACCCTCTTCCCCCCTCTCCACCCCCCCCCACACACAATAACCCTGTGACCCCCTCCACAACTCCTTTTTAGGAAAGGACCCCCTACAATTACAACATCGTGAAATTTCAGATTTAAAAATAGATGACATTATGAAATTTATTACTTTTGAAATCCTAAAACCATGAAATTGACCAAAATGGACTGTGAATTTGGTAGGGCCCTCACTATGCAATTCAAAAAGCTTTACTGAAGTGCCATGGCTGTGTAAAATTAAGCAGCAGACAGGGTTGGAACATTTAGATCCACTGCAGAGAGCTCTCCAAATTGAGCTAACAGAGTAACTAATAGCAGTAGTACGTGGTCATCCTTAGTGTGGATCAGCAATAGAAGGGGATGGGACATTTTGCCAGAGGGTTTCACAGATTTTTGCTGACATCAGAGGAAAGGTGAGACTCGGGAATTTTGGGTTCCATTCCAGACTTTGGAGGGGAGTACACTATATAGTAAACACAAACACTTCTACCAAATTCCCTTCCCTCCCCCCACCGCCACCCTTCAAATTCAACCTCTTCTGCACGGTCTCAGTCCTGTGTCTTTTCCATCATGGCTCCTTGTCCCAGTCCCATTCTCCTTGTCTACCCAATCCCAGTTCCCTTGCCCAGAAAATCCTTGCCTCACCCCTCAGGACTCCACGTCGGTTATTCCCCTCCCGCACTTTCATTCCCCCTGCCCAACCCTAGTTCCCATCCATCCCCTAGCTTCCTATCTCCAGTCTCCTTGCTCACACGATCCTCTGCCTCTTTTCTACCCCAGAATCCATCTGCCCCTCCCTCCACATTCCCCATCCTGACTGGCCTCCAGGGATTCTCATTCAGTTTTAGTGTCCCGCATCTCCCCAGATCTTTGTCTCAGGTCTCTTTTCCCAACCAGTCCTTGTTCTACCTTTGCACCCAAGTTCCTTATCAGTCTTCCTTCCCATCTTATCTCCTCCCCCATTGGTTCTAAGTCCCAGTCTCTCCCTCAAGCTCTTCATCCAATCTCAGTCTCTACCCACACCTCTATCTGCTGCCTCTCAGCCCATCTGCCCCCTCTACTACTAGTCCCAGTATCCTGGCACAGCTAGTCCCAAATTACCAATTGCCCACCCCACCCCAAGTCCCAGTTTTCGCCTTCCCTCCAGTTGCCTATCCTAACCTGCTCTCCACTCAGGTCTGACTCTTGTCCCCCTCTGCAAATGAATCAGATAGCTTCCTCCTCCATGCTGCCAGGGCACTGAGCACTAAAAGATACACTCTCCCTGCTCAGTTCAGGTGCTCAGATCCAGCACAGCCCACTGCTACCCAGAACTGAAATTGTAGGGTAAACCCTGCTCAGCCCCAGGCTAGATCAAACCCAATGCAGTCAGAATCTGTGGGGAATTTAATTGCTAAAAATCAAAGAAATGTCTACTAAGCACTTAATACAATATACACATTCAAAGAAAGCCTCCCACTCTCCATAAATGGCCATTTTGGGTTTGTTTGGTTTTTTATCATCTGATACAAAAAGTTGCTATAAAGATATTTAGTATTTTACTTACTCCATAATCGCTGGCTAAAATGTTGTAGGTTGTTAGTACTATGTCTTGTTTTGAAATAAATGCTGGGTCTTTGCTGCGGTCAGGACCATAATAAACATATATATTCAAGCGAACATCTGATCTGATATGTTGTTCAAACTGGTCCTGAAAAGAAAAGTCATTAACAGAAACTGCAATTAACCAAATGTTGCCACATAACTATATTCCTTAAGGATGGCTTACAAAACAACTGTAGATTCTGTTCCGACTCTGTGGCATACTGCAACTACCAATGGTGGAACATAGGACAGACATAACAAAAGTCAATTGTTTTAGGATAAGAGAGGCAGAGGGAACTGAAGCAGCCAACTTAGTTACAGCAAAAACAGAGCCAAAAACAAAGCAAAGCTGGATAATCAATCACAAGTAATTGTACTGCAATGGAGTTGAGGGGAGGGACAGAGGGAGGAGACCATTTTTTACACATGTAAAATAAAGCTACAATGGCATTTCTGAATAAATAAGAAAAAATAAATGAAAGTGACTGGTTAAAAATTACTAGCATTTTTTCAAGATCTACTTTTCATCATTAGTGTTTAAATTTTTGCACTTCTTTTCAATAAAACAGCTAATCTTCACTTGTCACTTTCATTTTTGTTTCTAAAGTGTTTCGCCTTTGTCGCTCTCCAGCACTGGCACCATGTTGCAGAATTTGAGCTGCTGACAAAAAGAAGGGGTAAAGTCTAAAGAAACCGTTTTCAATAAAAAGTATCACAGTTCTAGGACACAAATATAATATATGGAGGGAGTAATTTAATCTCCCTCAATCAGTTCTCCACACAAAGCTTCATTTGTAGAGTTTTCTGCAAGTTTCTCCATTACTGAGTAAGTATTAGGCAGCATTTCTTCTCGTAATTTTATTCCAGCATCTTTACGAATCACCAGACTCTAGAGAAGGAATTATAGCTAGAGATAGGCAAGATTTTTCAGATGAATAGTTTATTCCCCCCCAAAATTGCAGTTTCAGTTAATTCAAAACTATCTGCGAATTTGTCAGTTTCAAACAATGAAATGAAAACAGTAGTTTCAGATGCTAAAGTCCAGAGTCCAATTTTGTAGTTTTACCAAAAAAAAAAAAAAAAAAAAATTAACAGGCCAAGAAAAAAACTGAAAAAGCAAAAGTATTTTCTCTCATCTCTTTTCAATTTTAATTATCTCTGTGTTGTAAAATCCGTTAGCATAAAGCTTCAGCAGAGACATGTGATTTTTAAGCTGACTATCCCTTTAACATGTTTACAAACAATGAACAACTCTCCTGCAATAAAAAAGGAGGGTGGAAATGTGAACCGGTGTGGAACCCATTTGCTCAGGAATGACTCCCCTCACAGGGTGACCAGTATTCATAGCTCTTTAATGGACATGAAATAAATCACATGCATCAGTGAATAAAAGCCATTCAGTCTCATGGCTCTATGATGTCACTTCAATTTGTTCTAGTATCAAAAATTACTAGGGCTGTCAAGTGATTTAAAAAAATAATCGCGATTAAATCACCCTGTTAAACAATAATAGAATACCATTTATATAAATATTTTTGGATGTTTTCCACATTTTCAAATATATTGATTTCAATTACAACAAAGAATACGAAGTGTACAGGGCTCACTTTATATTTACTATAAATATTTGCACTGTAAAAATAAAAGAAACAGTATTTTTCAATTGACAATACAAATACTGTAGTGCAATCTCTTTATCATCAAAGTTGAACTTACAAATGTAGAGTTATGTACAAAAAATATCTGCATTCAAAAATAAACAATGTCAAACTTTAGAGCCTACAGGTCTACTCAGTCCTACTTCTGGTTCAGCCAATCGCTCAGACAAACAAGTTTGTTTACATTTGCAGGAGATAATGCTGCCTGCTTCTTGTTTACAAAGTCATCTGAAAGTGAGAACATGCATTCGCATGGCACTGTTGTAGCCGACATTGCAAGATATTTACATGCCAAATGTGCTAAAGATTCATATGTCCCTTCATGCTTCAACCACCATTCCAGAGGACATGGATCCATGCTGATGATGGGTTCTGCTCGATAATGATCCAACGCAGTGCAGACCAACACATGTTCATTTTCATCATCCGAGTCAGATGTCACCAGCAGAAGGCTGATTTTATTTTTTGGTGGTTTGGGTTGCTGTTTTAAGACTTCTGAAAGCATGCTCCACAGCCCGTTCCTCTCAGATTTTGAAAGGCGCTTCAGTTTCTTAAATCTTGGGTTGAATGCTGTAGCTATTTTTAGAAATCTCACATTGGTGCCTTCTTTGCGTTTTGTCAAATCAGCAGTGAAAATGTTCTTAAAAAGAACAACATGCTGGGTCATCATCGGAGACTGCTATAACACGAAATATGTGGCAGAAAGTGTGTAAAACACAAAGCAGGAGACATACAATTCTCCCCCAAGTTCAGTCACCAATTCAATTAATGCAGTTTTTTTTAAAACAAGCATCATCAGAATGGCAGCACATCTTCTCGAATGGTGGCCAAAGCATGAAGGAGCATACCAATGTTTAGCATATCTGGCACATAAATATCTTGCAGTGCTGGTTACTGAAGTGCCATGCAAACGTCTGTTCTCACTTTCAGGTGACACTGTAAAGAAGAAGTGGGCAGCATAACTCCAGTAAAATGTAAACAAACTTGTTTCATTTAGTGATTGGCTGCACAAGAAGTAGGACTGAGTGGACTTGTAGGCTCTAAAGTTTTACATTGTTTTGTTTTTGAGTGCAGTTATGTAACAAACAAAATCTACATTTGTAAGTTGCACTTTCATGATAAAAAATTGCACAATAATACCTATATGAGGTGAATTGAAAAATACTATTTCTTTTATCATTTTTACAGTGCAAATATTTGTAATAAAAAATTATAAAGTGAGCACTGTTCACATTGTATTCTGTGTTGTAATTGAATAAATAGATCTGAAAATGTAGAAAAACATCCAAAAATTTTAATAAATTTAAATTGGTATTCTATTGTTTAACAGTGTGATTAAAACAGCAATTAATCTCAATTAACTCAAAAAAATTAATCACGATAAAAAAGTCACTTGAGTTAACTGCAATTAATCAATAATCCTAAAAATTATCTATTTTTTGAACAACTGCTTTATTTCAAAATTAGGAGAAGCAGTAATTTTAGTCACATGACATGTTACTGGAGCAATGTATTTGTATTGTCATAATTAAGAGTAAAAACATATTAAAGAATTAACATGATAATGTAAAACCTACAATCCAGTTGCTTAGGACAGAGAGCGGACAGATGATCAGTGTTGTTCTGGGACCCTCTTCAGAACCATTTTTCTTAACAGACTGTACAATTGCAGTACCTGAGAAAATAGAAGTGACACTTAGCAGGATAATCATTTACCTTAATCCTTTATTTTGAAAGATTATAACAAATACGACGCTAAAAAAATGTGAGTAGTTCCCTGAAGTCCTTTCGGAGGTCCCCATCAAAATAATGCAATCTTCACATAAGAAACATCTGTATAGTATTTCAGTTTGAAAAGAAAAATTCATAAGGCTTGTGTTTATTTCTTCATTACCTTTTTTCTTTGCTTTCTTTTTTAATGGAGCGGATGGAGATGCAAGAGCAGACGCAAAGCCTGTGTCTTCTTGAATAACGCAAGAAGCTGCTGCCAAAAGACCACATCCAAATGCAAGACATTTTAAAAATATGTGCATGGGTAAGTATATTTTTATTACATTTATGTTACACTAAGTATTAACCAAATGAACTGATTTTCTCACTGTTTTACAGGTAGCTACTAACACGGAGTAACTCTCAAAGGGACAGAATCTATCAGCCATTAGGACAAACGATTTAGCACAAGTTTCACTCCAGGAGTACACATAAACATAAAGTACTTTAGACTTGTTTACACAAACACTCAGCGCACATCAAGCTGGGGTGTAAACCTACCCTCTGCTAGCCTGCCATGCATTAAGTGCCCATGTGGACCCTGCTGCCAAATACTAAAAGTTCCCTAGTGTGCTCTTGTTTCAAAGCAGCATAGATCAAAGCGCACTAGGGAACTTTTAGTGCCCGCCAGCTGTGTTCTCACAGACACGTAGTCCAGGCAAGGTAGCATAGGGTAGATGTACATCACAGGTTGCTGCAAAGTGTTTGCTTAAACAAGCCCTCAATGCAGAGTACCTATAGTCTTTCAGATTTTCTTCCATGAGAGGTATTTAGTCTGACAGATAACATATGTTCTTGTATTTTTAGATTAGCATCTAAGCATTTTATCTTGTACAATAGCTTTGCCTTTCAAATGTGCTTTTTCCATTTCTGTGCTTACATACTACTACATCCTTGTCAGAATCTAAAGCATCTCATGTTTCCTCACTACACCTTCCACCATCCCATCCCTTTTACCAAGGAAGAAAGGATTCTCTTCAAAGCCTGTCACATCATTACTTACTTCTTCAGCCAGAAAAGCTGTTACGAAACATAAGCCCAGGGAAGGAGTGTATCACCACTAGGCTAGCTGAATAGTCCTTTCTTAAATAAGAGTTCAAGGTTCTACTTCTAACTGATAAATTTACTCTTATAGGTGGTTAAACCGAGTTACATGCTCACAGCATTAAACACACGTCCACAGGAGTTTTACTGAAACATTTTAATATAGATTCCTTTCTTGATAAAAAGTTGGTCTGAAGTATCTTCTGGTGTACAATTTCTGCTTAAATTTCTGGTACGGAAAGATTTATACTCCAAAGAAACATACTTTTACTTCTCTTTCTGGTTGCTGGGAGATCTTTTTCACATTTGCCTGAAAAGAAAAACAACTATTTAAAAACTGAATGAAATTAATTCTATTTTAACCCAATTATTTAAGTATAACTTACTTCTTGTTTGTTGTGGTAGCCACTCTTCAGATTCTTCTGAGTCACTGCTTACTGTATATTTGGGTTTCTCAGCTTTAGCTCTAAAATATTAAAACAAAAACCCTTCACAACCAGTATTAAAACTTGAAGAGCATGTTTTAGCCACACAGACTAACATGCAATAGATATGACCAATGTGCTTTGAAAAGTTCCTTGGAGGATGGAGGGGCGCAGGGGGACAAAACAAAACGTACTCTGCTCATTGTTGCACTTCAATATGCAAAAAAAATAAAATAAAATCTGTGAACAGACTATTTTCTCATAAATGTAAAAAAACCAAAACAGATCTTTACACGAACCAATAAAAAGAACAATCTGTGCCATGATGAAATGGCATGAACATATCAGTATGTTTCAAACTCAAATCAAGCCAAAAGCTGCCCCTTTTGTCTACAGAACAATGTATCTAAAGCAGCAGTTCTCAGACATCATTGTACTGTGACCCCTTCTAACAACAAAAATTACTACAAGATCCTGGGAGGAGGGGACCAAAGACTCAGTCCACCTGAGCCCCGCCGCCCTAACTCCGCTGTGAGGGGGTGGGGGCCAAAGCTGAAGCCCAAGAGCTTCTTCCCTGGGCAAGGGGCATGTAATCTTAGCCCTGGGCGGTGGGGCTCAGGCTTCAGCCCGGGGCGGTGGGACTTGGGTTCTGGCCTCCGCCCTGGGCCCCAGCAAGTCTAACATCAGTCTTGGCAACCCCATTAAAATGCGGGTCCCGACCCACAGTTTGAGAACCCCTGATCTAGAAGTGAAACACTGACAAAAACTATTGACATTTAGCAGGACATCAGAAGTTTATGTCAAGTTTTTTAAACAATAAATACAGACTGATTAATTTTAATTGTGAAGTAGATACCTGGCACTGCTATCATGCCTATCTTTCAATTTCAATTAATGGTCTTTGATACTTCCCGCCTTATTATATACATTACATCATATTTCTGACAACTATAAGCTGAAGCTTGGGAAAGCAAAAGGAATATTGCTGCTACGGACACTGGCAGATAAACAAAGCAATCTAACCTTGTTGTTTACATTCTTAAAAAAAAAAATTGAAGACTGGGTATCAAAACAACATTACTACAAGAATGGATTACAGTTAACACCTTTGATACTATTATACTGACAAGAGGAATAATAAAAATTTAGAACAGGCGTCTCAAACACGAGGCCAAGCTCCCCGTGGGCCCCCCCCCCGGAGTTATTTCCTGCGGCAGCCAAGCTCCCCTCACCCGTCGCCCCACCTCCTCCCCAGTGCGCCGCATCCCTGCTCCTCTGCCTACCTCCAGGCGCTTCTCACCGCCAAACAACTGTTTGGTGTCACTTAGCACTTTCCAGGAGGGAGGGGAAGGAGTGGGGAGCCATGCGCTCCAGGGGGGAGGCAGAAGAGGTGGGGCAGGGGTGGGGATTTGGGGAAGGGGTGGGAAGAGGTCGGGCCTCATGGAAGGGGTGGAGTGGGGCAGGGCAAGAGCCGGGGGCAGGGAGGGGGCTTTTGTATCTTTATATGAAAAGGTGTCAGTGATGCGGCCCTCGGGCCAATGTACTAATCCTCATGTGGCCCTCGTGGTGATTGGAGTTTGAGATCGCTGATTTAGAATGTAGGCAAGAGTCACTTAGAAAAAAAATTCATGATGGGCAGAGGACAGGACACCAAACACTTACCGCCTAGATAAGATCATCCCTACTCCAACCCAACTGATGTAAAAACCTGAAAGGGACTGCATCTTCTAGTTTTTTGCTAATAACTTTAACTTTATTCAAATGTCATGTAGCAAGCCAACAAAAGAGAAAAAGTGTGTTTCAGGATATTACCTTTTTGGTTGGGAACTAGAACATTGTGACTGAACAGTTTCACTCTTCTCCTTTACATTAGAAATACTGGGCTCCACATTACAGCTGGTCTCTTCAGGAAAAGAGAGAAAAGAGAAAAGAGTTATGAAAAGGAAAATACAGTCTTTTTGCCTGAAAGCCAAGCTACTTGATGAATAAAACTAGTACAGATTTAGATCAAAAATAATGTTCTCAATTCCTCAGAGTGAAATTAGCATAACTGGCACTTTGAGTCACGATTGTAAATGTGAGATAAAAATACTATGAAGATCTTCCTAATATATTTCCAGCCATCTAAAATGCTGACATATTAAAGCAACCACTCACCACCTTGCCCAGATAAATTTGCATACAAAAGAAGTCAAAAAGTGTTAACGGCCTATGTGAATGCCCCTGCATTCACACCCTACACACTATTGTAGTAATCTTTGTAGAAGGTGTGCTTTTGTAAGATATTTGAAAACTCATACTTTGCTGGTCAATATTGACCTGATAATATTCGTGTGGCAACATTGTATGTGAAGTTATAAAACTACTGTGTATGATGTTCAAAACTCACGTTCCACCAAAGTGGTCAAAAAGTCCTGTCTTGAACAAAGGAGTACGTTTGCCTTAATTTGCATTTAAGTAGTAAACAGAGTCATCAAGTAGGAAGGGAAAACAAAGGAAGCTCAAACAGGTAGGAAAAAAAACAGCAGGGAACATCCTTCCACACAGACTTTTTGTCTCCTAGTTCCCAGCTGGAAAAGTTTTTTCAGGAGGGAGGTGGGGATTAAAACTTTCAAAAGAAGGGGCAAACACCCCAAGACTCCCACTCTCTCTCCGTCTGTCTCTGACATTGCACCTAAGATGACAAAGAAAAACAGACGTTGGAATCTGAGGGGCGTCCATACCTGAAGAGTTTGGTCAGTAGCCTTGCTGGAAGCAGGTGTTGAGAAATTTTGCTTGAATTTAATATACTTTGTTAGAACACTTATTAGTGCCTATTTTGATTTTTTTTTTAATAACCATTTCTGACTTTTATGCCTCATTACTTGTACTAGCTTAAAATCTCTTTGTAGTTAATAAAGTTGCTTTACTGTTTCATCTAATCCAGTGTGTTGAAACCAAGCGTCTGGGTAACTCTATTTAAGATAATAAGCTGACATATTTTTCCCTTAAAGGAAGAACAGACATAATATATTTATACTGTCCAGGAGAAGGCTGACCAGTACAGGACATACATTTCTGTCAGGAAATCAGGGACTGGGAGTGTGTTGAGGTTCCCCTGCAGTATATCCCAAGCTGATGAGAGCCAGTGGGTAACTAGCAGGCTGCAGTTACACCCGGACACTCAGGGAATAGCTTGCATGCTGGAAGGCTGTTTGTGAGCAGCCCAAGTGGGAGCTACTTCAGCAAGGCATTGTAAGGCACCCAGGGTTCCAAGCCAGGGGTGACACAGCCCTGCAACTGATCTGAATTGTACCCTAGTATCCACAGTCTGGTTCTGGCTGACAAAGCTTTGACTTAGATTTCCAAGCTAAAGATACAAACTAGCTTTCTAATCAGACCCTGAAAGGTATTCTAATACATTTATTGGCTTTTGTGGGTTTATTCTAGACCCTTTTTATTTTAAAATCATTTCTGAAATAGGTGACCCTTTTTAAATGTTAGCTTTAAAAAGAAAACAACATTAACAATGGGCCTGTATTTAGATACTATTTAATATTTTTTAAATCATAAACAATAATTTAAATGTCCAAGAATAATGTAAGCATCAGTACAGATTATCATGTAAGTTCATACTTAACTACAACGCACTTTGAGAAAAACAACTTGTCCCAACAGACCACAACACTGTTTACACCAGGAGGAGAACAGATATTGTGAAATGGAGAAATATGAGACCAACATTGAGCTGATGAAGAGCTAGAGAGCAGAAATAACTAGAAATGAGTTACAACAGAAAAAAGTCTTTCCTCTATGGTGGGATACAGTGACCTTTACCTTACATTAAAGTACATAATAATAAAATCTTACACTTGTGTGCAAGATCAAGGCATAAAACTGAGTCTTACCACATTATTGTAGTAGACCCAAGTACAAAACTTACATGACACAAGGAGAAAATTAATGTAAATACCATACAGATAGCAAGGACAGTGCCAACAAAGCTATGTCAGGATAGAGCACTTCCAAGATGAGCGTTGTTCTAGCTGCAGGCTTGATTAATTAGGGATATCTGAGTTTCTGGGTTACCTAAAACTAGTTAAAGTCAACAGGAACAGAGAGATATGTTGTAACTGATCCATAAGTAAAAAAGTAAATAAAATTATTTAAGATGAAGATCTTATCTGTTGGAAAAAAAAGAAAAGAAGAATATACACAAAAGTGAATTCAAGAGATAAAATGTAGTAGGACAGCCCTGGCGGAGGAAAACTGAAGCTGCTGAACTTGAAGAAGCAGTTTTGGTGTAAGTGTAAATAGTACTCAAATTTGTGCAATTAAATACCAGCAAATAAAAGGTGCAGAAAATAAATGGGGAGGAAAAAGCATGTGCCGTATGCAATTTTTACTCTCTCCAACTCAGTAACTTTCCTTTCATAATGAGTTCACCCAAATGAATGCAATGGTGCTACACTTTTATATTACTAAAAAACCCTCACAATCTTGGGGAAAAAGAAAAGGAGTACTTGTGGCACCTGAGAGACTAACCAATTTATTTGAGCATAAGTTTTCGTGAGCTACAGCTCACTTCATCGGATGCATACTGTGGAAACTGCAGAAGACATTATATACACAGAGACCATGAAACAATACCTCCTCCCACCCCACTCTCCTGCTGGTAATAGCTTATCTAAAGTGATCACTCTCCTTACAATGTGTATGATAATCAAGTTGGGCCATTTCCAGCACAAATCCAGGCCCTCTCACCCTCCGCCCGCCCCCCCCACACACACACACACACAAACTCACTCTCCTGATGGTAATAGCCAATCCAAAGTGACCACTCTCCTTACAATGTGTATGAAAATCAAGGTGGGCCATTTTCAGCACAAATCCAGGTTTTCTCATCCCCCCCCCGCCAAAACACACACACACACAAACTCACTCTCCTGCTGGTAACAGCTTATCCAAAGTGACCACTCTCCCTACAATGTGCATGATAATCAAGGTGGGCCATTTCCAGCACAAATCCAGGTTCTCTCACTCCCCCACCCCCATACACACACAAACTCACTCTTCTGCTGGCAACAGCCCATCCAAAGCTGGAAATGGCCCACCTTGATTTTCATACACATTGTAAGGAGAGTGGTCACTTTGGATTGGCTATTACCATCAGGAGAGTGAGTTTGTGTGTGTGTGTGTGTGGGGGGGGCGGGCGGAGGGTGAGAGGGCCTGGATTTGTGCTGGAAATGGCCCAACTTGATTATCATACACATTGTAAGGAGAGTGATCACTTTAGATAAGCTATTACCAGCAGGAGAGTGGGGTGGGAGGAGGTATTGTTTCATGGTCTCTGTGTATATAATGTCTTCTGCAGTTTCCACAGTATGCATCCGATGAAGTGAGCTGTAGCTCACTGAAAGCTTATGCTCAAATAAATTGGTTAGTCTCTAAGGTGCCACACGTACTCCTTTTCTTTTTGCGAATACAGACTAACATGGCTGTTACTCTGAAACCAATCTTGGGGAAGAGAGTGGAAACAACAACTCAATTTGACAAGTCAGATGGCCTCCATATACCTCAGTTTAAATGTGTATTTTATTACTTCTCCTAGAGCTACTAAGAGGCTTAACTAGTTTGTAAAGACCTTTCACATTCTCAGAGAATTGCCATTGTAAGCAGACCTGGCCAAAACTCAGGATTTTTGATTAATCAGAAATTTTGGCATTTCAAAATCTCGTATGGAATGAAACCAAAATTATCAATATTTCTCACAAACTGGAAATTCTAAAAAACTATTGTTTTTTGGAAACAATGATGTTTCTGAAACAAAATTTGCTCTCTGGGACTACAGCAGAGGTAAAACTGAGAAGAATATCAATTTCATCCAGCAGCTGCCAGAGTGACCAGGATCTGTGGCTCCAGGGTAACCACACCATACTTACCGCCAAGGGGCGGAAACCCAAGGGCTTCTAAACTCATGGGTTAGCTGGCTCCCCTGGAGTCTGAAGGCTCTGGGGTCCCTGACCTGAGGCAGTATGCATGGCAGGGTTCCCCTGGAGCTACAGATCCTTAGAACCCAACCCAGGACTTCCAGGCTCCTAGTTCTGTGGCAATAATCCTGAGAGCTCTCATGGCTTCCCAGCTTCCTACTGCAGAACTGGGAACCTCAGCTGAGAGCCCTGGCAAAAACCCAGTTTCTTAGGGCTTCCAGACTCTGTGCTGCAGAGCCAGGACCCAAGACCCAGTTAGAGTCAGGACTTCCAGGCTCTTAGCTGCCTAGGAGCCTAGAAACCCTGGCTGACCAGAGCCATGGACCTTGCAAACCCCAGGGCAGCCCACATGGTGGGGATCCTCAACAGCCTGCCAGGCAAGCTTACAGGGTTCCATTGGGCTCTGCCAGAACCCTGCTTGTGATGTGGCAAAAGTTCATCAAAACTTTACTCATTTTTGTGAGCAATTTCAAGTTTGAAAAACCGGCATTTTCCAGTTTGTTTGGGAAATTTCCAATTAACTCTAATTGTAATTGCATATTGCTATTCTAATAATATTAGTGTTGTTGTATACAACTGAGTTAACAGATCTAGCGCTAGCATGTATTATTCATAATTCAAGTACTATTTTGTTGTTTAAATTTTACTGTTACCTTTCAAAAGTTTATGTCCTTCATTTTTCACACCAGTGACAACAGATTCCTAAGGAAAAACAACAGTTTATTCTGTAATGTAGTAACAACTAATAGTGTAATATGGTAGTTACGGGTTTAATCTGAACAGATAATTATTTTTTTGCATGCCAAAGATTGGTATAGTGTTAATACATTAATCAAAAGCTTAAAAAGTTATGGAGTTTAACACATTCATATAGTAAAAAAAGCAGATACACCAAAAGGGAACTGTAGACAGGCAGAAAGAAAACTTTACATTACACAGGTATATTGGAAGGAAAATAAACCACTAAGCTTTTCAGACTATTCTGAGCCCAAACACAAAGTATTACCACGTAATTTTGATGCAATCATGGTTTTTTTTTTTAAAAAAATTCTAATTCCTGTACAGATTACAATAAAATAATCAGACAATGCTCGTACTTACTCTTTCCACTGCATAGTTAAATAAAGTTATGGAAAGGGAGTGAGTGCAGCAAAACAGACAGTTGGATTAGATGATCCAAGAGGACCTTTTCAATCCTCCCTCCCCCCAGCCCCTTTTTTAAACTATTTGGTAAGATGGTGTTCCACAAAGTAAATAAATCTGAGGTGTTTCCCCCCCACATTCAGATGCTCTGCTTCATATTTTAGGTATAGTCTCTTCAATGCATGGGAATTATGTAAGCAAGTCCTTAGAGGAAAATGTACTTATTTGTGTATTCACGACAAAAGGAAAAATTTTAAAAATAGACCTTTATATTCTATTTTATATGAATTAACCCAATAGAACTTGAATGAAGTATGTTTTCATGATCTAAGTTTAACTCTTCCCTGGAGTACATCATTTCAAAGTTCAAACACACAGACTATTTTGTTTCAGAATATATTTAAATTAAGTCCTCTAATTATATCTGACCTGGCGGTGTAACATTATACCATTCTGCTTCTTACTTTGTATTACTGGATATTAGAAGCATAAAAAGCTCATATCAACTACAAAAATGATATGAGGTTGCCATAACCATAGGGGTAGCCTAAATTCCTCCTGAACTGTAAGGATTAAGAAGCTCAAGTAACCTGGTTGGCACCTGACCAAAGGAACCAATGAGGACAAAAGAGACTTTCAAACCGTGGGGGGGGGGGGGGGGGGAGAAGAGGAGGAGGAAGGGGCTTTGTTTTGGGTTCTTTGGGTTCATTCGCTCTCGGGACTGGACATCAATCCATGTTCTCCAAATCTTTCTAAACAAGTCGCTCATATTTCAAACTTGTAAGTAACAGCCAGGCAAGGAGTATTAGTTTATCTTTGTTTTCTCAACTTGTGAATTTTCCTTTTGCTAGAGGGAGGTTTATCCCTATTTTGTTGTAACTTTGAAACTAAGGCTAGAGGAGATTCCTCTATGCTCTCTGAATTTTCTGCTAATCTGTAAGGTTAACTACCAGCCTAAGTTTATTGAGGAGATTCTTTTACCTTTTTCCTCTTTAAATAAAATCCTTCTTTTTAAGAACCTGACTGATTTTTCCATTGTTCCAAGACCCAGGGGTTTGGGTCTTTGATCATTTTGTAACCAATTGGTTAGGATATTATTCTCAAGCCTCCCCAGAAAAGTGGGTGTATAGGCTTGGGGGAATAGGACTCCAAGTGGTCCTTTCCCTGATTGCTGGTTAAATCACTTGGTGGTGGCAGCGATCCCAAGGCAAGAAATAAATCTGTGTCTTGGGGAAGTTTTAACCTAAGCTGGTAAGAATAAGCTTAGGGGGCTTTTCATGCGGGTTCCCAAATTGTACCCCAGAGTTCAGATTGGTAAGGAACCCTGAGAGAGGTAAGGATTTTTGATTACTTGCTAGAAGAAATTATTTCACACACACAAAACCCTAGTCATTGTGTGTGTCATCAAATACGTTTATAAAAAAAATAAATAAATAAACACTCACCTTATGCAACTGATCGCTTTTAATCTTTTCAACAGAAAGAGGTTTGCCATCATGAAAGTTGGTAAGAATCAATGCAATTGTTGCAAGTGTTTTACCCTAGATAAAATGCAAAGGATAGAATTTATGATTTTTCCAGAGATAAGTCAAACTGTATTCAAATACACTAAAGCACTATACATAGTTACCAATCCCATATCATCAGCCAATATTCCTCCAAGTACATTTTCTGGTCGTTCTTTTTCAGCGAAGTTTGTAAGTGTATTATAGTAGAAATTATTTTTCTCTTCCCAAAACAGTGGCAACTCCTTACTGTTCTCACGTGAAACCATCCAAGCTAAAGCCTGCTTTTGGTGTGGGAGTAATGGTGTTCCAACAGCCTATAAGTCAAAAAAGGAATGTTATACCTCTTTCACATGAAATAACCCTCTTCCCTTTGGGAAGTGGGGGGGGGGGGGCTCAGGGAGATAACATTTGATTAATTGCTCTCTTAAAACTTATTTAAATTAACTGGTATCTAGGACAACTTATTAGTCTAGCATGACACTGCTAAACTTTGAAGATGTGTATAGATGTTAAAAAGAGAGTTTGTAACACAGAATTTAAGGCCTGATTTAAAAGCCTATGTAAGACTTTTTCAATAGAACAAATACCTCTGCTCCTTCCATTTCATGAGTTTTATCATCTTCTTTCAGATCTTCAAACAATTTGTCAAACTCACTTTTAAGCTGCAATGCATAAACACAGAAGTTGCAATTAAACTCAACTTCTACATTAAATAAATACTTGATGACATAACGGATGCCAGTCACATGGCCATACGGATACCCAGATCTCCAAATGACTCCTGGAGTCACTAGAATCTGTAACTGCTGCTACTGGGGAGGTAGGTAACAAAGAACATGTGGCAACCTGAAAAAGGAGAAGAAGTGGGGGAAAAGAGCCACATTCATATTCCAGCTTGGCATTAAAATATGCATTAAAATAGGATGAGGTATACCAGCACAGCTGTGTGGAAAAAAAAAATCTTCACACTGCTGAGTACATCTTCTTGTGAACTGTTTGAAATGGGCCACCCGGATTACATTGGCTTCATTACCACTACAAAGTATTCTACTGTTGAGAATAGTTCATTTCCACCTTAATGGAATTGTCTCGTTAGAACTGACCCTCCCACTTGGTAAAGCAACTCCCATCTTTCCACATACTGTGTATTTATACCTGCCTACTGTATTTTCCACTCCATGCATTGGATGAAGTGGGTTTTAGCCCACAAAAGCTTATGCCCAAATAAATTTGTTACTCTAAAGTACCACAAGTAGTCCTCATTGTTTTTACACATTGTGTTTCTTTTAATTTTAAATTTGCGCATTTGATAGCACTTTGTGTCCAATTGGTTTCACTGCTGCTGTATGTAAAGCCCACTGAAACAAGGTATAGAAAAGACATTTAAGAAAATAGGAGAATGGCTTTAAAACCATAAAAACTGGCAAATGGACTCTGGAGCAGGTGTAGTAGCTGAACCTAAATGGTTAAAAAAAACAAACAAAAAAACCCCCCAGATTTCAAGTTGACTGTGCCCTTTAAAAGATATTTGTTTCAGAAGGGAGAAAAACAAAATACTTCAGTGCTCATGAAAAAGGACTAATCCTCACTTTTATGAGCAGCAAGTTCCCTTTTTTAAAAGTATATATTTTCAACTAACTACCAAAAAAACTACCACACACCTGTTCTGTTGTCATCTGCATAGCAGCATGTCCTGGAGCACTATAGCTTGGTCCAGCTCTCCCAGAAACCCAGCTTGATCCAAAACCAAATTCTGAACCTGTGTTCCATTTAGAAAAAACACAAACACAGCAGTTAGAGACTTGGCTTGCTCAGATGACTAACAACAGAATATGGTGCCTTTTTCTCCCCATTTGTTTTTTATTCAACTATGTTCAGTAGAAACCAAAAGTTTTTACCAACTAATGGCTATTTGTGACATATGGGAAATGACTATGAGCGTAGTTCTTTGTGAAGAGTTGTATTGCTTACCAGTTAGACTACTAAAACATTACAAAACATAAGAATAAAAATGCCTAACAATTCAATGCACAATTAGATCAACAAAAAAAGGAAAGTGCTGAATAAGATTTTGCAAGTATAACATATCAAAGCATGACTTGTTGATTTCAAGAACTCTGGTACAAGGAGTTTCTGGAAAAAAAAATGTTGACATGATTACATTTCTGTTATAACATGGTTTGATTCTTCACCATGCAAAAAGATGAAACTGTGTTCCAATCACATTCAGATCAGGACTATAATATATTCAAAACAAAGATGAAAGAAACCGTACTAAAGCACTTACCGGTAATTATAATCTACATTCTCAACAATTTTACAAAAACACAACTTTACTAATGTCAACATTATACAGTAACTCCTCACTGAACATATAGTTATATTCCTGAAAAATGCGACTTTAAGCGAAACGATGTTAAGCAAATCCAATTTCCCCATAAGAATTTATGTAAATAGGGGGGTTTAGGGTCCAGGGACATTTTTTTCACCAGACAAAAGACTATATTATATATATATCCACACACTGTGTAGATTAGATAGATAGATTTAAGCAAAATTTAATATTGGTACATAGCGATGATGATTGTGAAGCTTGGTTGAGGTGGTGAAGTCAGAGGGTGGAAGAGGGTGGGATATTTCCCAGGGAATGCCTTACTGCTAAATGATGAACTAGCAATCAACTGAGCCCTCAAGGGTTAACTCACTGTTGTTAATGTAGCCTCACACTCTACAAGGCAGCACGAATGGAGGAGGGGAAACAGCATGGCAGACAGACACACACACACAGTGTGTGAGAGAGAGAGAGAGAGAGAGAGAGAGAGAGAGAGAGAGAGAGATGCGCATTGCCCCTTTAAGTACGCTGACCCCACTCTAAGTACACTGCCTTTTTGAGTAGATCAGCAACTTGAGATGGAAGCTGCTGCCAGGAAGCTCCCTCCGTCCAGAGCCCTGTCCCGTCCCCCCCCCACTCTTTGGAAATGAGGTAAGCGGGGTGCAGGAGCAGGGGGGAGGGGGACACCCTGACATTAGCCTCCCCCACTCCCTCCCCCCGCACAACAAGCAGGAGGCTCTGGGAAGCAGCTCCAAGGCAGAGGGCAGGAGCAGCACATGGCAGTGGGGGGAGGGACAGCTGAACTGCTGGCAATTGATAGCCTGCTGGGCCGCTGCCCCACAGGGAACTTAGGGAAACAGGGGGCTGCCGGTCCACCCTGGTTTCAAGCCCCCATCAGCTAGCAAGCAGTGGACAAAGCAGGAAGCTGCCACACAATGTTATAAAGGAGCATTGCGCAACTTTAAACGAGCATATTCTCTAATTGATCAGCAACGTAACAATGGTAACAGGGATGACTTTAAGTGAGGAGTTACTGTATGTTCATCCACCTTTAAATTATATAGCAACTCTATGATCTATCCCAGTCAGAAACAAGGAAAAGAAATGGGCCTAATTCTATGCCAAAAGCCAACAGGCTCTCTTTTGCACACCTGCAGGGGAAACAATATTTTGGGTCAACACTATGAAAAGAATTAGCATGAACATTTGATCCCCTTTCTTTCACAAGGAGGTTAGTGATACTACCACAATTTCCAGGGTGAAAGACAGAAAAGGGTTAAAAAAAAAAAATTCCAGAGGATAACAAACATGCTTTGCCACAACCATCAATCACTTTTTCATGTCTACAAAGTCAAGGAAAACCCACATTATAGCACAGATGGAGCACAACTGCATATTCACTATGAACCCAGATCTGGCCAGTTTGGGGCTGGTCATATTCCCAATGAATCCACAGGAATATTACCATTGACTTCACTAGGAACAGGATCAAGGCTTTAAAGTCTCTTCTAATGACTGGGGTTTTGCAAAGCTCATCTTTAAAATATTTTAAAGACAAAAACTAATCTATAACTTACTTTTTGAAGGAGGAGCCAATTTAAATCCATGCATTTTCAATTTATCTAGAACAGGTTGCTTATTTTCTTCTTTTCCCCAAAAACTCATTTGCACAGGCATAGTAAAGGCATTCTGTGCTCCATAAGGGACAACCCTTAAGAATAAAGGGAAAAAAGGAACATACTTCTCACTTAAAAAGTAAAACATTTCATAGCAGACTCCTACGGAGAAAACACAATTAATACTTCCATGAAATAAAGAACCTGTTATAATCATTAGAACACTGAAACAGTAAGTCACAAGTTCCACCAAGGAAGCAGACTCCTAAGAAAACTATCAGGCATTCATTGTCATTCTGTGTGTCACTATGAAACCTAGAATTTCCATCACGTCAGTGTCAATGATATGGAAATGGCTACAAGCATGGTTGAGAGTTCTTTTTGTTCAGACAATCATCACGTTGAATCATCAATGGAATCTGTGGTGTGTTACCAATTTGTTTTAAGTTCTCAGCCATTTTGACTTCACGAAGTATTCCTATGTGACACACAGCTACAGTAAGACAAGTATTTGTGCCATACCAGAGTCCCTAGACCATCGTGATATCAGAGGGAACTCAATCAATCATCGTTGCTCTACAGCTAATTTTCATGCAACGATTTCAATTGGCTGTATGAGGCAAACTGCACAGATAGTGGATTACCAGGCCCAAGTGCTATACCCATGCAACAGCACAAGCTTTCAGCTTCTACTACAGTATTAAATACACAATGGGCCAGATTCTCATTTGTCCAAAGACCTATTTTACACCACTATGGCAGCATATAACCATGCTTAAACTAACTTTATGCTTATTTTAAGCCCCTTTATCCTATCAGAATAGTGTAAAGTGCCCTTAGCATAAATAAGAATAAGGCTCAAAATAAAGTATTTTTATATGATATTAATACATTAGAGATGGAGCAGTTAGTTCCACAAAAGTTACAGCTGCCTTAACACTTTCAATTATAAGATCCAGTTTTAGTTACTTACAACTTTTTGAAACTTTGCCCACTCAGGCTAAAGTTTTCCATGCAAGATGTCTGCCTGGGGCTGAATTTTTCTGGGAAGTTTCAGCAAACACATTTCGACTGCTCCTCAAAATTAGTTTAGGGGAAGTAATAGATTTAAAAAAAAAAAAAAAAAAAAAAAAAAAAAAAGCATGGGCAAAATAATGTTACAAGTATTTCACTGGGGAGCTCGAGTACTTCCATTCTTTTGGAGCAGGGACTTGAAATTTAGCAGGAAACAAAGACACCAGAGTGCCAAGAACAGAGCTAGGGAAATTTGTAATCAAATTTTTTTTTGGTGAGAGGGCAAAAAACTGCAGACTTGACAAAAACCCTTTCACAAATTCATATCAGTTCTGTCAAAGTTGCTCATGTAAAAAAAAAAAAAAAAAACCTGAAATTGAGAAAAAGTTAAAACCTTTTGTTATGACATTTTCTATGGGAAATGTTTCAAATTTTTTGGTTGAAAACAACTTTGTTTCAAAAATTTCCTTTAATTTTATAAATAAAACCAAACATTAAAAAACGCTTGAAATCAAAACAAAAAGTTCTGTTTTCGGTTGTCCTAGACATTTTATTTGACCTAACACATTTTTTCCCCAGTTTTCTGGAATTGCAAGTGAACCAAAAAAAAAAAAAAAAATCCATTGTTGGCACAGCTCTAGAAATGTTCCTTTTGCTGTCCTCCATGAAAAAATGTCCAAATTTGGCCAAGTCAGAAACCTACAAAAATATCTCAGTTCCCACATGCTCAGTAAACGCATCTTAGAGGCTGGCAGCATTATTAACAAGGTTTCCAGAGGATGCTATTTGTGAAGGACAAAAACAAAAATGACAAGAAGATGAGTCTGCAAAGAGAACAAATATAGTTTAAAATAGTGCCAGAGTGGGAGCTGGGATGGGTGAAGAGAATGGAGAGCAATCACTTGTACAGGACAGTTTACACTTTAAGAGCTCAAAATCTGAAGACAATGTCCAAATTTAATAAAAACCTAAAAAAAAAAAAAATTATTTAAATAGTTTCAGGATTTTTCCATGCATCTCAGCAGGTATTCGGATTTTTGGATTATTGGAGTTTGGCACTAATAGTCACAGAAAGATAGTATTAGCAAGAGTTAGCCAGGACTGCCAAATTTTCATGACAATTTTACAAGAACACTTTTACACTGATTTAACGTTATATAATTACTACTTAACATTGAACATTTTTCTGATTGTTACTGCGAATGAAATCAGAATCAAAAACTGATTCACAGCCACCTATAATTAAAAATTTGCAAAATCACAATAGTGTTACAAATTTTGTCATTTTCCAATAAGACATTTGCTCAGAAGTACCAATTTTATTGTATGTACATGATGAGAAACTTTTTGCCACATTCACTTTCAGGGAAGGGGGAAAAAACAATTTTCTTTTACAATAAGTCTGTATAACGTAAATATAGAATTAGTCCAAATTCTTCCCACAGAAGAAAAATGATCAGTGAAAACAATCTTTTGTTTTTGTTGAAATTTATCATGGAAATATTTTAATTTTCTGAAAATACTGAAAGATTTCAGCCAAAATCTTTCTGGTTTGGAACAAATATTTTTATGAATAAACAAAAGTTTTCCGTGGAAACGAGACACGGGGGTGGGGGGGACACATCATTTAGTCAAAAATCCAAGTTTTCCATCAAAAAAGAGTTTCAAACAGAAAATTTTTCACCCGCCCTACTAGAATGCTTTGAAGGAGCCAAACCACTGTGTAAGAATTACAAAAGTACGCTTTTGTCAATTCAACTCTCACGGATGCCTCTAGAATGTCATTTACAGAGGAAAACGAACTGCAATCTGGATGGTTCATAAAGGAAGCCTATAGCCTGCAGCTATGACACTTAAATCCTGTTATGGCAGCCTCACTGTTACTGTCAGTAATCTCAGCGAAAGGATATACATTTTAATTGTTGCTACATAAAACATACTAAAAATATTAAATTGCCATTCCCTTATAAAAATGAAACTAAATATTTCATCTGCCCACTTACCCTTCAACTATTGCTAGCTTGTTGTCCATGATGTACGCCAAGGGTGCTGCAAGTTCTTTTTTGATGTGGCCTACCTGGTTTCCATTCACATTATTTACTTTTACTGCATTTTTATCATAGAGGTTATTGGGCTCTCTCTGAAGTGCAACCATTTCATTATTGTTAACCTGCAAAAAAAAAAAAGAGCACAGACTTGTTTAGTTACAAGTTATTTACAGAAATACCTAAACGTATAGCCATTCTGAAGCTACATTTAAAGATTATTTTAGCATAATAGGCTGTTTTTACCTCCAGTAATTCTTTATTCAAAATACTAAAGACTTTAGAAGTTAGGTAAGAGGTGGGCTTTAGAGTCCAAGCTCCATCCTGAGCTGCAACTTCAAAGCACTGTCTACACAGCTATTTTTAAAGCACTGGCACAAACCCTGTTAGGCCAAGTCTGTTGACCTGGGTTGGTAGGTTTGCTGCCTGCAGGCTGGTTAGACATACCCTATAATACTTTGTACTTATTCAACTCTTCTCATTTGCAGAATTCACGGCTCCTTACAAAAAGCTAGTAAACATCATTCCCCTTTTACCATTGGAGAAACTGAGGGGCAGGTATGTTAACTGACTTGCTTAAAATCACGTGGGCAGGATATACAATCCATGTCTCCTGGCTTCCAGTCCTATCGAAGTGCTATACCATCAAGTGTCTCCTCCATCCACCAACACTGTCAAGACTGTGGCTAGGAGGACTGAGCTAGCTACAAGTATGTTTGCACAGTCCTAAATGAGTGTAGTCGGAGAAAGCAGGAAGGGGACGGCACTTTGAGAAGGGAAAACACCTTCCCTTCTACTACAGTCAACTTCTTGGGGGCTGTTCTTATCTCACCTGAAGCTAGCTCCAGAGTAAATACCTTAACAATTCCTGAAATTTAAACTGCGGGTTTAGACTACTGAATTCTTCTCTTGGAACTGTGTAGAATCTTAAATGCACTGATAACAAATGAATGAGAAAACCCTAGGACTTGTCAGAAAATTCTGGAAAGCTGTGCAATTTTAACAACAAAAAGGCAAAATGTTAAATTTTTGTCCCACTTTTCAACTACCTCTGCTTAATAGCAATTTATTATTCATACTGCACTTACAACCCCTGTGTAATAACGTAATCCAACCACATTTCCTCGCAAGGTTCCAAATAAGACAGCTGAATCCATATCTTCATCTGTCCCAGGAATGTCATCTGTACATAGAAAGTCTTCTAACCCAAACTGAGAATAAAAATCACGAGAGGTATAATGGGAATAGTTCCTATCTCCTCCATGATGGGCAGATTGTAAGTATTTCCAGGCAGAATCTCTGCAGAAAGACAGAATAGAAGTTATTTGACATTATATTTAAAAGAGTAGTCTGAATATTTCAGTTACTGTTGATCCCCTTTTATAAGTGTCAATTTAATTTTCCCTTTTATAATGTGAATATTTATATTTCACATCTTTATATAATCATTCTACCTTACCTGGCAATTTTCTCCTAAGTTATACCCTTAAAAAAACTGTCTCCAGGACATTATAGGCTCACACAAACAACACATAATCAAATTATTTTTACTATTTAACTGACTAGAATATAATCTTCAAGCACTCAGAAAAAGAGTCAGCACTGTAGAGTAGGATCTTTTGGCTGCTTTTAGGGCAAGATTGAGCAGCAGGAGCAGATGACTAAAAGATCTTCATTGTTTTTATTGCTTAAGACTTTTTTTGCTGCGTGGGGGATCAAAAGAGCAAAGGGCAGAAGAGAGTAATGTCTCACACAACAGAGGACCAGAATACTGAGTTGGTCAGGGTTTCTCATGCTCATGGGCTTATAATTTTCCGCTAAAAAAGGATACACAGACTTTGCCGTGGCAAAAATGCTTTCACTTCATTCTTCAGAAAGGGCTGGAAAAAAGGGAAACACTGGCATTTTTTAATAGAACACTTCCCTAAACTTCACTTCCCCCCATGTTCCTAACTTTGTCAAAAGTCATAGAGAATACGCAAAAAAATTATGTTTTTCCAACTTAACAGAGTCCTCTATAATAAGTGCTTTACAAACATTAGTTTATTTGCCATGGGTTCTCTCAAAGAGAAGAGTGGCTCTTCTCATTGATAATACCTGATCACTTCTGCCTGACATCACATTTATGGACTGTCAGAATCCACAAGAGACAGCAAGTCTGAAGTGATATAAACAAATTATTATCTGCATTAGAAATCTACACTTTTCAGGGGAGATACAATGAGGTACAAAGCCAAAGCATAAGTTGCTTTATTGAATACAGTACACTTCAAGAAGTAAAGTTATTACTTTTATAACATACTTTCCAACACTTCTGAGACAACTGCTCAGTCCTGACATATATAGTCATACTGGATACTCACAGTAAGAATTTTCACCAACCAGGTGAAGATTCTCTCTTATTCTCCTTCTTTCTTATTAGAAAGAGAAATCCTCAATAACACCTTAGTATATTGTACTTTTTGGCTAACTCACAAAAACTTCTGTGACCACGTATGTCAAATACATGTATTCACATCAATGCAAAGAACAGTACTAACGCTTGCCGAACTTTACAAAAGCAACAAAAATGAATGCTCAGTGCTTTGGAAGGCTTGGCTGTTAACAGTTAACAGCATAGCACATTATAACTTTGCACAGCAAGACCTTCCTGCACAAAGGTATTATTTACTTAAATTATCTTAAACTACTGTCAGGGAGTGTGACTAGGCTTGCAAAGGCTGTGTATCTGGAGCTTTGTCAGGATCAACTTTGGTTTCTTTTGCATAATGTCACTCCAAAATTAGACTAATCCTGGCTGAGTAACAACCATGGAATCAGATCCACAATTTAGCCAAGGTTTACCACAAAGTCATCTAAGCTTTGCCCACCTGAGGGCTATACTAGCAACTTGTCAGTTCAAAAGCCACATATATGTTGTGCCACATACCTCTTATGTTCTTACAGGACTAAACTGGCATTACATGGGTGTGTGACAGGGAAAGTGAAATAGGCAATCAACTCCAGCAGCTACTGGGTTGACACGGAAGGGAACACATACCATACCCGTATAAAGGGTAGCTGAGCAACTGCTTCAAGGTGTGCTTGCTTCCTGTGGAACTCCAGGTGAATCACCCATAATTTCTGCTGAGACGCCTGAGGCAGCACTTTCCTCTCTATATACTAATTCAAGTAAAACATGTGCTTTAAAGGCGCAATCCTGCCCTGATTTTGGAAATGTGCTGGTAGCAGAGAATAATGACCTAAATGCATTAATGTAAAATGTGTATAACTGAAGTGGGATGCCAAGATTTAGGGAGCACTAGAGCCCAGCTAAGGAGAAACAACAGCCCTCACAGGATGGGTAAGGGAGGATGGAAGAGACAGGCATCTCACACCAGTGAGAACTGCTCGCACTCTCTCCATTATATCTGTCACATGCTCTCAACACTACAAATGATAACTGTCTCCACTCTAAAAGAAAAAGAGTACTTGTGGCACCTTAGAGACTAACCAATTTTTTTGAGCATGAGCTCACGAAAGCTCATGCTCAAATAAACTGGTTAGTCTCTAAGGTGCCACAAGTCCTCCTTTTCTTTTTGCGAATACAGACTAACACGGCTGTTACTCTGAAACCTGTCTCCACTCTGAAACCTGCCGCCATAATAGCACCACTAACCCCTCCTGGCCCAGGGTGCCCAGCTTCCCCCCGCCCCGCCCCGCCCCGCCCCTTCCGCTCCCCAGCCCCCACCCAAGGCTCCCAGCCCCGCCCCGTCCCGCCCCCTCAACTCCCCCAGCCCCCACCGGACCAGGGCCTAACCCTTCCCCCAGCAACCGGCCACGCTGACCTCAGTTACACGAGACCTACCCCCGCCTTCCCATCCCGGCCTCGCCTGCCCGCTTTGCCCCACGCCGGGCCTCACCTCATGAACATCCAAGCCATGGTGCTGCGGGAGCCGCCGCACGCCGACCGTGACACAAGAGCAGACCCAGCGCCCGGCAAAGAGCCAGAAGACGCGCAGCCCTCCAGTGACATCAATCCCAAGCCCCGCACCGTCAGTGCGGCGCTTAGCGCTCCCAGCCTGACTGACGCCAACAGCACCAATCCCACCCAGGGTTTCACAGACGCCAGCCAATGAGAACAGGCCTGTGAAAGAGGGGCGGGACTTTCTTCATGCGTTGTCTCTGCGACAAGAGCAGAGCCCCCAAACCCTCCATCCGCTGCCTCCGCAGTGTCCCTCCGCCTCCCTTCCACCGTCGCTGCGAGGAGGCTGCAGGACGGACTGGTTGCAAATTAATCCCCCCTCACCGTAAACGGCCACCCTGCTACTGGCATCTCTGCCCGAGGTGGCCTTCGGTGGGCTCCCTGTTCGACACAACACTCATGTTGCAAAGCGTGCAGAGAAGAGATGCAAGCAGGGGGTCAAGGTCGTCTGGCTCACCTGCCTCCTACAGCTCCAGCTACTTGGTTTATCCAAGAGCAGGTTAAGATCTGGCTTAATTTCATTGTGGTCTATAGCTACCTGTATGGGAAAGAAAAGGAGGACTTGTGGCACCTTAGAGACTAACCAATTTATTTGAGCATAAGCTTTCGTGAGCTACAGCTCACTTCATCAAGTGCCACAAGTACTCCTTTTCTTTTTGCGAATGCAGTCTAACATGGCTGTTACTCTGAAACCTGTATGGGAAAGAGATCTCTGAGCTTAGATGGGTCTTTAATTTAGCAGAGAAAGGCATCAAAATGAGGAAATTTTAAACTGGTTGGGTACCCAACCATTGCAATAAAAACCACCTGCGGAGGTGGTGAAGTCTCTAGCACTTGCAGTCTTTAAATCTGGATGGGATATCTTTCTAAAAGATATGCTATAGCTATAGCTCAAACAGAAGTTATGGGTTTGATGCAGAAGTTACTGCATGAGATTCTCTGGCCTGTGTTAGCAGGTCAGACTAGATCGGGGTGGCCAAACTCCGGAGCCACTTGTGGCTCTTCAGAAGTTAATATGCGGCTCCTTGTATAGGCACCGACTCCGAGGCTAGAGCTACAGGTGCCAACTTTCCAGTGTGCCTGAGGGTGCTCACTGCTCAACCCCTGGCTCTGCCACAGGCCCTGCCTCCACTCCATCCCTTCCCATCCCCTCCTCTGAGCCTGCCTTCTCCTTTTCCCCTGCCCCCAGAGTCTCCCGCATGCCACGAAATAGCTGATCGGGAGGGAGGGGGAGGCGCTGATTGGCAGGGCTGCCGGTGTATGGGAGGCCCTGGGAACGGGGGTGACGGGGAGCTGATGAGCGGCTGCTGACATATTACCATGGCTCTTTGGCAATGTACATTGGTGAATTCTGGCTCCTTCTCAGGCTCAGGTTGGCCACCCCTGGACTAGATTATAATAATGATCCCTTCTAGATTTAAAGACTATTAATTGGATGTCATCACATCTTGATGTCAGTTACTGGCTGAGTTTGTGTCATCACAACCTGACAAAACCATGGTGTTCCATATCATAAAGCCTAGGGTTGCTAAGTATCCGGTTTTCGACCAGAACACCCGGTCGAAAAGGGACCCTGGAGGCTCCGGTCAGCACCGCTGACTGGGCCATTAAAAGTCCAGTTGGTGGAGTAGGCAGGCTCCCTACCCAGCTCTGCATGGCTCCCGGGAAGCGGCGACATGACCCTCCGGCTCCTAGGCATAAGGGCGGCCACAGGGGCTCCATGCACTCCCCCCACACCAAGCACTGGCTTCGCAGCTCCCTTTGGCAGGGAACCACGGCCAATGAGAGCTGCGGGGGCGGCGCCTGCGGGCAGGGGCAGCATGCACCGCTTAGCAGCGCCCCATGGCCGCACTTGCGCCTAGGAGACAGAGAGACATGCTGACCACTTCCCAGGAGCCACCTGAGGTAAGCGCTGCCTGGAGCCCGCACCCTGAACCTCCCCTGCACTCCAACCCCCTGCCTCACCCCAGTGAAAATGAGTGAGTGAGCGAGGGTGGGGGAGAGTGAGCAACGGAGGGAGGGGGGATGAAGTGAGCGGGGGCAAGGCCTCGGAGAAGGGGCGGGGCAAAGACAGGGGCAAAGGCAAGGGTGTTCGGTTTTCTACAATTAGAAAGTTGGCAACCCTAATCAAGTCACAACCCAACATAAAAAAGATATTTATTCACTCCTTCAAGTGTTACTCCTGTCTTTGTCATCAAATCAATTTGACACATTAGCTGGATGTTCTGCTTTCACTATAGAGATAAATTGATCACTTCACACCTCTCTGAGCTATTGTTTTAGGATGTCTGCAGATTCAGGACAGCATTGAATCACTTACTTTATTTTTTCAAGTTTTTCCACAACCATGAGAACTAGAAGTACAATTTTTTTTTAAAAAATGAAAACTTAGGTTCTTGAGTATCAATTTGATGACATATATGTGATAAATATGGTTATTAATGAGCATTGTAACATATACACTATTATTAATACCTATATTAAATTTAAATCACAATGCAATCTTAGCTGAGGAGCTGCTATGCTGCTTCTGTACTTGAGAGCCAATTCTACTCTTATTGTCTTCAGGGGAAGCAGGATAAAGTCTATAATATGTAAATTTATCCATAAGAAATTCTTGAAAATTCCTTCTCATTATCCCCACAACATCTTGCTGCTTACTGAGGCTATTTTTCCACATCTGGGATATGGGAATTTGCTATTGACTTCAACAGGAACAGGAGCAGGCCCGTAATAGGTGTATTTATTACTAAGAAAACCTTTTACAGCTTCTTCCTTTCCCACAACTTCCTGCCACCTCTTCAGTCTGAAAACCTGTTAGCTACCTGTCCAGGATGCACAAAGGGGTTTCCTATTTCTGGGATGCTGCCATGGTGGAAGAGCGAGAGTGAAGGGTGAACAAGGCAAGGGGCCTCCACCATGGCAACACAAGTATTCATGTGGTTGGACTGATGCCATGGAAGCCAAGAAGATATTTGGGCAGCCATTGAGACAGTAGGGAAGGGATCATTCTTCTATTGGTACCTGACCCTCTAAAGACTACAGGGCCAGAAAGCCAGCTACTTTCATGGCTGAAGAAGTACTAACTGCCACATAGCAAGAAAGGTCCTATAAAGCATTTAGCATTATAAAAGTCAGACTTGACTACAGGAGTGCAAAGCTTGACTACATAAGTCATAAGCAATATTGACACTTGGGTAGTCTTGGCAAAGCATCCAAAGCCACTAAGCATAAATACTAGTTACTAAAGAGTGGGGAAGGTGGGGTACTGATGTCCCTCTGCGACATTTTGGGGTCAACCCAGATCACTAAGAGATTGTGTCACCTCCTGCCTTACAGCTCTGGAGGTCTTCAGAACTATGCAGCTGTGGCTCAGAGCCCTAACACAAACAGCCAGTATTCAAGCCTATAAGTCACACCCTGGCTTTCACCCTGCCACCCACTTGCTTTTCGCAGAGTGACCCTAACACTCTCCCAATCCTGAATTTCCCCAAAATTATCTGCCAATGGGGTGATCTGCCAAGAATCCCAGAACTGCGGATTACTGTTACCCCTCTCAGCCTCAGCAAGTGAGAGTTTTGCTACTGCTAAGTTGTGTTTCAACTCCCTGGTACACCAGCTTGTCTGTCTTGCCAGCAAACTCTTCAGGACTCTGCCAGTCCAAACTTTGCCTTGCAGGTAACAGTGAACCCTAACTCCCGAGTTCCCCAGAGATGTATCCCTGCAGCGCCCAGCCATCTCCTGGAACACTCACAGCAGTTATTAAGTTTGTTGCTCCTTTAACAAAACAATACATTGCAACTCATTAATTTAACTAGGCTTTGACAAACTCTTATTTCAAATCACAGCACTGAATTGATTTATAGTAAAAGTAGAACAAGATGATTTAACAAAAAGACATCATCTTAAATGATATGAAGTATAAGGACTAAAGATAGGAAGGGTTACAAGCAAATAAAAGTAAAAAATACACTTTTAAGAGTAAAACTTAATTTCAGCAAGTTACAATCTTTGCCTAAGCAGGTTTCTCACCTACACTCACTTCCCAGAGACTTCAACCCCATTGACTGAAGGAGCCAACATTCTGTGATTTCAAGAGCTCTGGCCCCTTTAATCCCCCAAGTGATGGCTACCAAAATTGCTTTCCATTTCTGCTTATATCTCCCAGAGTTCATTGACCCTGTTACAAAGGGCAGGAATGTTGTTGCTGTTCTTCCCTTCCTATTGAAGTGGGGCTTCCATTGTTTTGATTCCATAATGCTTAATTTACACTGGAAACAGATAGATAGCTACTGCTATCTGGGAGCCTTTGCTGAGTTTGGTTACAGACTTTAAAGCATAATATCAGTGAGTATCCATAATTCCCCACACACTGTTAATGCATACATTTCACACAATGATATTAATCACCAGTGTGTCAGAGACTTTAGTAAAGAGACATTAAAGAGACCGGTCCTGGGGCTGGTTTTGTTCAATATCTTCATAAATGATCTGGAGGATGGTGTGGATTGCACTCTCAGCAAATTTGCGGATGATACTAAACTGGGAGGAGTGGTAGATACGCTGGAGGGGAGGGATAGGATACAGAGGAACCTAGACAAATTGGAGGATTGGGCCAAAAGAAATCTGATGAGGTTCAATAAGGATAAGTGCAGGGTCCTGCACTTAGGATGGAAGAATCCAATGCACCGCTACAGACTAGGGACCGAATGGCTAGGCAGCAGTTCTGTGGAAAAGGACCTAGGGGTGACAGTGGACGAGAAGCTGGATATGAGTCAGCAGTGTGCCCTTGTTGCCAAGAAGGCCAATGGCATTTTGGGATGTATAAGTAGGGGCATAGCGAGCAGATCGAGGGACGTGATCGTTCCCCTCTATTCGACATTGGTGAGGCCTCATCTGGAGTACTGTGTCCAGTTCTGGGCCCCACACTACAAGAAGGATGTGGATAAATTGGAGAGAGTCCAGCGAAGGGCAACAAAAATGATTAGGGGTCTGGAACACATGACTTATGAGGAGAGGCTGAGGGAGCTGGGATTGTTTAGCCTGCAGAAGAGAAGAATGAGGGGGGATTTGATAGCTGCTTTCAACTACCTGAAAGGGGGTTCCAAAG